TCTGGCTGTAGCAGTTGCCAGGGGAATGGTACTTGCATGACTGCATTGTGTCAACTGTGACTTTTTTTTTTTTTTCTGCAAAAGGGATTATGGTGTAGGGCTTTTCTTCGGGAGTTAGGCTCACCCTCTTAGTTGCAGTAAATGCAACTTCTAATCCTGTAGCATGCCGAAATGTTTTGGACAATTTCACGCTCCCAACTTTATGGGGACAGTTCGGGGATCCCACCTTTCTGTTCCAGCATGACTCTGCATTGGTGCACAAGGCTAGCTCAGTGGACGATATGGAAGACTTTGACTGGGCTGCACAAAACTCTGACTGCCAGACTATAGTGTCCAACATCAGTGTCTGACCTCATAATTATTTTGCCCAAAAAGTCTTCTGAAATTCCTTACAAAATCCCCCTAAACCTTGTAGACTACAAAGAGTTGAAGCTCTGGAAGCTGCACAAAGTGTATCAATGACAGATGTGTAAAAGAAACTGACCAAACACTTTTGGCAATAGTCTGTCCATTTATGTGTAGTCATACAGACATATTTTCTGACAGCATTTTATAAGTAGAATATAGAAAATTTCATTTAAATCGTAGGTTGTCAAAGTGGGTTAAAAGGGGAAAGTACAGACTGTTCAGTTTGAATCATCCTGCGGTAGACGGCACCATTTCATACCTGGAGAAGTCAATTACAAAACAACCACAACTGCAAATGAATGAAATGACAAGCACCCAAACTGAGCATGTATGGTGTGTCACAACAGAAAGAACTACATTCAACTAGGGGGAAAAAAAAACGTCCAACCAGCTGGGTGGTTATTTTCCTCAAAGCAAGGGAGCATAGAGAAAATGGACACACACAAAACAAAAAGAAAAAAAAACAAGGAAAAATTCTATTGAAAGTGAATTTTTTCATATAGCAATATTACCAATTGTTTTTAAAATGAATAGTAAAACAACAAAAAATGTAGAAAGATGAATATCTTCCTGGAGATAAATTTGCAGCATTAATGCCAAAGGGTCATTCATTGTCTCTAACCTCAACATATACTGTAAGTTGCTTGGAAAATAAGAAAAAATAAGCTTACACAAAGAGAAGCTGTCTGTCTCCCAAACAAAAGCTGAGAAACTATTTAAAAATGAGGTTGCATTAATCATAAATATTACTACATTCATAAAAACTATGAATAATGGAGACACTGTATTGCTATTTTATAAGTCACTTAAAATAAGTGTAATTTTCCTGACATGTTTATGACTTTGCAAATATACAGCACAGCGTGTTCACATTTACACTAATCCAGATAGATTTATGAAAGCACCCAAAGCCCTGAGAATTAAATTGCATGTTTAGTGTAGAGATCTGCAGGTATTTACATTTGATGGTACATGGCAAATGTACAATCTATAATTATTGAGAACATGGCCCCAGGAAAAGAAGGTGCTGCAGAGATGAATTAGCTGTTGGTCTGCAATCGCTCGATGGTCACGCTCCAGGATGTAAAATGTTTGTTTTGGTTTGCAGTAGATGCCTTCTGGAGCAGGGATTCATTTGTCCTTTAGATATATTTTGCTGTGTATCTGTGCCATCTCTGTATCAAATTAGCATAACCATATGAATGGCTTCTGGGATCAGGTACATAACTGAGCTGGAGGGAGGTCATCAAAAACTGTGTGGTTTTACCTCACACTGTGATACTTCTAAGTGCCTCAACTGCTGGAAGGAATAAATCATGTCTCCAAAGACAAAACATGCGTCTATAAACATAAGAAACTATCTAAAACTAGATCTAAATGCAGTGGTGAACTACAAAAAAGTTTGTTGCGTTTACTCTAAACCAGTAATCACAAACATTAGTTCTGCTAACACAATGCACTACACCTACAAGGGATTTAGAGAAAGCTAATGCTAAAGTGCTAATGTCAATTAAAATGATATCTCCCCTTGAAAGACTACAGTCCCCGAACACCAATTTAATAAATTAAATGTTAATTTAATTTTAACATTATCATTTACATGTTCTTATAATGTCCTTAGATATTGTATTCATGTCTATATCTTATTTTTTTTACTATTCATTCTTTATATTGTTCATGTATGTTTCTTCCTGAAAATAAAGTTTTTGAACTGCTCTGTAAAAAATTTCACCCCTTCAAAGTAAGAGCATAAATATAAGCGTCTAAATGCCTGGAGAATTTTTAACAATTAATAACCAAAATTTCAACGCAGATGTGGAACTTTTTTCAACTGAAGATTTACAAGACACCAAGGTAAATTAGTGTTTTTGAATTTAGCTGAAAAAATAAATTTAGGCTAAGCTAAGTTTGCAAAAAGAAGCTAAACGAAAAAATTGCTACGTCATTAGTTGATTAGCGCACTTGTGCCCACCATCGCCTAAATGTAAAAATTACCGTTTTATTTTAAATACTAGGAAGAAACCTAGGAAGCCGTTTAAATGTTGCTTATGAGGCTGGAAAACAGAGAATTTAACTCGGTATATTTTAGCTTTCTTGCTGCGTTATGAGCATACTGCCTGTTAGCACATGTTCCCCGTTTTGAACAACTGATGAAGCTTGAACAACTGATGAAGCTTGATGCAAGCATGTTGTTGGTGCAGGTTTATCAGTCTTACATGATCGACATGTTAATATGGGCGCTTTAAGTTCCTGACCCTGAAAAAAAATCTGATAGAAGTCGAAACTTGTTGACTGACATGAGTCGGTATTGCTTTAATGAAGGGGTTGATTATAGGAAATAAACCCGCTCTGTTTCTGCATTCTGCTCTCTACGGCGTAAATTGGCAATTTAGTGCTGAGGATATCTGTGAAATAAAGGCTCAACGCTACGAAGAAAAGCCTTTCTGTGTAAAGCCAGCAGTTCATTGATTGATGAATGGCTTAGAAAACGTGGAAATAAATGGCTACAGAGTGCAAAAAGACATCAGTCCTCTATCTTGTGGAAAGCAGAGTATCAAAGAGTGAGAATGGGACCAGAGACTACTATCTCTTCTTCTAGGCAGTTTGGCATTTCCAGCCAGTTTCTCAGGGAAGATCTGATTACTGCCATACCTTAAATCTGCTAATGAGTTGTGTGAAACATGCATTATTAGTTGAAAAAAACAAAACAAAAAAACATGCTCCAACAACCTTCCCTAGTCTAAATGAGTGTCCTAAAAAGCGGTGAGACTTTGTCAACTTCAGGAAGAGACCAGCTCATTTGTTTAAACAAGCCAGTCCGTGTCTGTTCGGAGTAAACTTAGGCGAGTCTCAGTGGGAGGCAGAGAGCACACAGTGGTGGAGATCAGCTAGAAGAAATAATGAGCAGGAGAGTTTTTTCCTTTCTTTTTGAAGCGTATTTCATGTGAGGTCTTTGTAGCTTGTCATTAAAAGGGATTTGTAAGTTTCTGTGTTAATTTGCTAGTGAAACTGCTGGTGTGAAAATGTCTGCCATGGTGCTACAGCAGGAAAGTTCAAACTTTAGTTTTAATGGTGTTTATTAGTTGATTATGCTGAATATACACTGTAGACAGCAAAGGCGTTCACGCCCAGTGATGTCAGCAACATGCTGACATAACCATTTCTTTTTTTTTTTTTTGATAGAGTAAACTGACAAGTTAATATGTACAATCCAGTTATCAGGATATATACAGTTGATGCACAGTTGCTTTCCTCTTGCATCTTAATGTCCAGTCTCTGATCATTAAATCACGTTATCAGCATAAGGGCAACCTGTGTAAAACCATGCAGTGACACAAATATAAACCATGGATGGAGGAGAGAAATGCAGGAACATCTCCGTTAACATGGTGATCTTGGCAGCTTCTCTGATTAACGCTTTCCTCAGCAGGCCTGTCAGTATCTGCTGGCTGCCATGTCTTGGTGTGTTTGGGAACATTTCTTGAATGTTGGCTGTATTTAATTTTGGGGAATCGGTATAAAGGGGATGGGGACTTTTGCCATTTGTGTTGTTTTTCTATTTGTCTGATCACATAAAATCCTAACTTAACACAATGCAGCAAAAATGTAAACTGGCTAAAGTAAAGGTATAAGTTCCTTTGCAGGACACTGTCCAGCCTATTAGGAGGTTTTGTTTTAGTCCAAAACCAATATTAAAGTCAAAAATTGACTTTTCTTTTTTTTTTTGTGGCAAATTTTGCAGTCATTTAAATTTATTCTCCTCTTAAAATCAAAATGGTCCTTCATGACTGTCTTGCTAAAGTTCCCAATTTGTCACTTGTCTTCTCACAGCCTTCTTAATATGATGCTTAATTCATCTTGTTTCTTCTTCTACTTTAGTTGCCTTCTAGGGTGCATTCACGTGAGACCTGCTTAATCAAACTGCAGTTGGTTTGCCTTGAAAAACTAGAGTTTGATTAAGGTTGACTAAACGGCTGGTGTGAATCCACCCTGAAGGAGTTTTGCATATAATGCTTTTCTACAGTGGAAACTGTTTTTGGATGTCCAATATAAAAACTATTTAATTTTCTTATGTTTATGACCTGCAGATTTTTTTTCTACTCAGACAAATCAAAAGCCTTAAAAATATTTTTTTATAAAAATACAAATTTTCACTTGCAGAAAGCACTGATGAAATATCACCTTCTTTAGTCGTCGTGACTTGTAGCATTTATCATTGGAAAAGAAAACGTACCTTGTCTATGTTTTACAGGAGGAGGGAATTAAATTTAAACAGCCTTCTGCAATTTTCTGTGAAATTGTTTGAAAGGTAACTCCAAAAGTTTTTTTTTTTTTTTTTTGTAAAATCGAAGCTTAAAAAAACTCAAATACTCTTTCAGAAGCTGCGAACCTGAATAAATCAGTCATATTTTAGCTCTGCTGGGAAACAAATTGTGAGTCAGTCTTTGATGGTAACCTCAAAGGTAGAAAAGACTAAAAAGTTCCTCAAAGTGATTATTTAACGACTGGATTTCTTTTTCTTCAGGTAAATGCTTCCTTTTTCATGTTTTACTTATTTCCTGTTTTTTTTTTTCCCCGCTCTCTCTCTTCAGACGGAGCCTTTCAAAATCACTCTCGGCTGCGGACGCCTCCGCTGCCCCTCTCCCATTCTCACTCGCCCAATCATCAGCACCATGCAGCCTCTATTAACTCGTTAAACAGGAGCAACTACACTCCGCGGAGCAACGCCAGTCCAGCGCCCACAGACAGCTCCGCTCCCCCGGAGGGTCCCGCCAGTGGTCAAGACTCCAGCAGCGTTCAGGACAACTGGCTCCTCAACAGCAACATCCCGCTGGAAACGAGGTACCGTGCAACTTGTCTCCCTAACAATGTGCGAGGCAGACATGTTGGCATCTTTAGGACTGAGCTCAAGCTTCTGCCATCGAACTCAGCTTTTTGTGTTGTCAGCTCTATATTATGTTACCACAGAGCTAACAAGGAGCAGAGCAAGAAAATGAAAGCTGCTTGGAACCAAAAGGCCTAACTTTTTGAAGAACACGATTTTTGTGGAAAACAAGAGAAAAGTGTTGCTTTTGGTTGCTTGTCAAATATTAGCTGATTTCCAGCCAAATCTAGTTTGACTAATAATAATAATGTTAGAAAAATGCAAAATTCCACCCAGGCTCTAGTGTGCATGCTTCCTCGCTCCTCTCCTTCAGTCCTGGTGTCTATTTATTTTATATTAATCAACTCTTTGTTCTCTAGCACATTCTCAATAAGAAGGCTCTTGTGTGAAGTAGATTTGTCGAGTATTATTGGAACTAAGGAAATGTCTGTTGGTTTTTCCTTGACTGGCATTGTCAAGAATTTCAAGGCAAAATGATTTCCTTTTCTCTAATAACCTCCTTTTTTTTCACGGTGGTGTATAATCTTCACGAAGAAAAGCTCAATCATGGCTGTAGCCAGGTTACCAACTGAGAAAATTTCTTCAATAAGCCTCAAATTGTGGGAGAATTTCTCCTCATTTTGTAGATTTGATGGTTAGGATTGAGTCAGAGCATTTCAACTGTAACATTAGGGCTGTAATTTTGCCCACCACAGTAGTAACTGAACGGTTTTTGTTCATTTGTACTCATTTATTCTTTTTATACTTTAGAAAACTAGAGATAAATGCCCTGTGAATGAAAAGCAAGCTGAGTGTACACTTCTGGCAGGTAGTCTCTTCTAAAATATGTTTTTTTTTTCTTCATTTTTTACCCTCAATAAAAGTGTCAGAGCAGTAATTGATTCCCATTTTGTCAAAGCTTTATTCGAAGCACTATTGTTCCAACAGATTTGAGTTTAGCTAGTAAAGTTAAATTCAATAACTCTGATAAACCCTTTTTCTAAGCCAGTTTTCTTCCTCCTGCATTTCTCACCATGACAAATTTCTCTTTTGAATTTTGAGCTCAAAAAGCTTCTGAGCAAAGAAAGCCAGTTTTGCACAAATGGCAGCTTTGTGTTTACATGTAACTGGCAGCAGCATTGCCATTTAGATTTATGAACAGTATCTAAAAAATAGGTTTAGAGATTTTTCTTTCTATCAGTTTAAAAATAGCCGATTTCTATTTCCGTGGGAAAATGCATGACAAAGTGGTCTGAAAAGCATTATTACACCCAGCAACAATATTGTTTTCATATTAATGTGATTTAACCTGATTTGGGATGCGTATCCTTGAAATTGAACTAAAAAATCGCAGCAAAATTTAAAAATGGTGGCTTCTGGAATTGGTTAGCCAGAAGTCCATGATCTTGTTTAGCAGATCTGCAGTAAATGATATGTCCCCTTTATGCAAATATAACATAATATTGACATCTTAAATTTCCAACTAACACAGTTAACATGGTTTGCATCACTAAATCAGCTGTTACAGTGTATTCGCAAGAGTTATGAACCTTACATTAACTAAGGACTATCTAAATATTTCCTAGTTTTCCTAAATCTGCCATGTGCAATCATAGAGTAGTTTAAAGTACAAAAAATGTAACAGTAAAATATTTCTTTTGAAAGTCTTCCTCTCTGTGACAATTTCTTTATCTGATTAATCATATAAATCAGATAGTTATATGATTAATATACATCTTACTGATTTATAATCAGCATCAAAATAATCAGCATGAAAAATACATCTGCTTATAAACTTAGTTATTTATATATATATATATATATATATATATATATATATATATATATATATATATATATAATTTTTTTTTAATGGAAATAGTATCTGGTTGAATAGATGAACTCATGAGGCACAGACCAATATTGATTTCAAATATAAAAACATTTTTGGGTCACACCTGTAGAACTGAGACAATTTGACAAAATGGCAACACTGGTAAACATTTCCAATGTTCCACCTTGTGTCCTCCATCCATTTTTAGAAACTACTCGTTAAAAAAACATTATTCAAATTAGCATTTTATTTTGATGGGAAAACTACTAATAGCTATTTTTTCCACAACTGTAAATAAAACAGTCATGAAGAGACTTGTTGTCTCGTCCCTCGGCTGTTGTGAGACGGTTCATTCAACAGGAAAATGAGCATCAGTTTCAGCTGGTGGGGCAGTATAAAGTATAAGGAATGATTACACATCATCCAGCTCCAGTTAATGCTGCACAGGTATTCCCTGTGGAGCCAAAGACAGATGGTGAGGAGAGAAAATAGTTCTGCTGAAACCACAGAGTTTTATAACCCATAGCCTTAAAGAAAGATACAATTTCAAAGTAATACTGCTAAAATTGTTAGTCGTATCCTAAAGGATCCTGTAGGATTAAATTCTATTTTTTCCTCATTTAATGCCATATCATTACCTCTCTCTTACGTCTCTTAAATTAAATCTACTGATGCAAAAGGCATCAATAGGTCTCAGTTGTATGAGAGACAGTGGTAGTTGCTTGGCTCTCTTGACTTTTGCCGTTTCTTTCTTAAGAGCTTCTGCCAAGCATCCCTCCGTCATTTGCTTCATTGAACTTTGCATTCATCGTCAGAGCTGAAGCTGAGGAAAGTCCAGCGCTGAGCTCCACAGGGCATGCATCAAAATCCAGCCTTTTCTCTTGGACCACTGAACGTGTTCAGCCCTCCCATTGCATGTGGACGGTTCATTTCTCCATTGCACTGGAGGAGTACTTCCTTATGGGACGTAGCTCTCAACATGGGGAGAAAGGAGACGCAAGCCTCTAGATGTATTACAGAAGATGTGTTATTTCTAATGCTACAGCAGTTGAGCGATAAAGTGTTGTAATTTTTCTGCTAATCAGCAGAGGCGCACCGATCAGAGATTCTGTTGCTGATTTTTGATTACAAATTTTGTGAAATTTTGTTAAACTGATTCTGACTTCTTTTTGATAACTTTAGATGTATAACTACTTTTGTCTGCTTCCTGCATTCTCTGAAATGTGTCTGTCTTAAAGCTGGTTTATTTCTGCAGATAGCTGTAGGACCACAGGGAGAAAGCAGAGGAGCTTTTTTTTCTCACAGATTACAGTTTAAACAATTATGAAAAAAGTTATTAAAAAATGTTTTTGTTAACCTGTAAAAAACATTTTGGTTTTTGTACAACCCCCCTCCCAAAATGTATCCCAGTGTGTCCCAATCAGTTTGATTGAGATACACTGACTATCCCAATCAGTGTAAAATGCTCTGACATAATTTTTGTTTTCAACTTTTACTTCACAAAACCCTGCAATTTGACTGCTTTATATAGACTTTGTATCTCGACTGTATATTTAAAGAGAAAAAAAAACTATTATGCTCTAACTTATAGATTTATGGATTGATTTATTGTAACCATATGGGAAGCTGAAGTGATCTTTCTGATCTAAACATTCGTTAATTATTTATATTAGGATCAGAAACCAGATCAGACTGTTTAACTTCCTGCTGTTTGCAAAACAATATTAATTGTTTCTTTAGCAGTCTAAAGAAAATGCCTCCAGAGAAGGAGCTTATTACTTTTGTTTGCTTCTAATTTTATTTATTAAGACCTTATAGGCACTACAAGTAGCCAACTGCTCTTCACTGTGTAACAGTTTCCACATTGAAGAATGCTTTTATCAGCTGATTAGGGACATTCAAGAAATGCAAATGATCTCTCGGTGCATCTCTAATGATTAGTTTTTTTTTCTACTTAAAATTAATACTAAAATGTCTAAAGCTAACTTTTCATATGTACAGTAAGTGATGCATTTTTGTCTTTCAACCACAACCTTAAAGGAGCCAGAATACTCTAATGTTTATCAGAGAAGAGCAAGACGCTTGCAGAGAAGGACAGGGCTCAAACAAAACAAGGTATGGAAGCGTACAAATGAGAGCAGCAAGAGTTAGATGTCATTTGTCCCACTCTTCTTTAGAAGTAGTTCCATAAGGGCCTTGGTTTCTTTGTCCCCACACCATCCGTTGTGACGCTCTTTCTTTACCTGTTGATTGGTATCGCCTGGTGATCACATTCTGTACTGGCATTTTCATGTTTTTTATTGCATGCATGTCTCACACTAGCTTCATATCCATCTTTCCACCTGTGTGTAGAAATATAGCAAAGCAGGCATTCCTTGAGACTTTGCAGGACAACTTGATTGAGATGGACATTCTGGCATCAGCACGCCACGATGCCTCGTACAACGACGGGTATGTTGCATGTTTGCTCTGTGGCTCAGAATCTGCTTTGCCATGAAAACAATGAATGCCTGTGCTATTTTTCCATCAAACATCCTCCCTGTTTGGAAACACTGTCAATCACTTTTGTGTGTCTCCTGCAGTGCTAGAATGGGTGTGTTTGTGTCTTCAGCTTTGATGCAACTCGCCTAATTTGCATCAAGTCACATTGTTGGGTTGTACCGTTCTTTTAGTAATGTCAAACATGGCCGCTTTATGAAACTTCAACTGCTAAAATACGATGCTCAAGCTATTTGTCTTTGAGATTTACAAATAAAGTATGGTCTCTTTGACTTTCCACATCACACATTGTAAGATGACATTCAATCACACTCATGTCACTGTCGCTCGGGAGCGTCTTGTAAACTTGTCACTGAAATGGCCTTGACAATAGTGCTGCTGTCACTGACTCTCTGATGGGCTGATCATACGGCACTTGGACACGGAGAGCTACACATGTTTTCCTGAGATAGTCAACCATGCTCTTCAAGGGCGAATAAATCTGCTTTTTACCATTCTGCAGCTTTATGTGCTTTATCTCCCCTCTGGACAGCCTTGACAACCCCACGCTTTACCTGAAGTCACACTTCCTTGAATGCGGTCACTAGTTGTGAAAATTACACTGCTTTGCAGAAGTGTTCTCACTTTTTGAACTTTTTCCCTTCCTGTCACAATATAACCACAAACTTCAATATAGTTTATTGGAATTTTATGTAATAGACCAACAAACAAAATTTACTCTCTTATTCCCCTTGACTTATTATATTGTAGAGCTGCCTTCTTTTACGGTTATAGGCTTTTGCTGTATGTCTCTTAAAATTTTGCAAATCTAGAGATAAAGACAGACTGAACAAATGCTAGCACTCAGTGGTGTGCACTGCTAACTAAAAAAAGTTTGTTGCGCTAATCCTAAAGCACTAATCGTAAAATATAGTTTCATTGATTTTAAAGCACTGCACCAGCACAGTATTTAGCAGAAGCTAAAGGGCTAACATGCTAACTTCAATTCAAATTATATCTGTCCTAGAAAGTCTACCACAACTGAACATCAATTTAATTTTGTTTTTTGTATGAAATAAAGTTATTGAGGGAAGAATAAGGAAACAAAACTGCTGTGAATGCCGTCTTCACCCACTACAAAATAAAAACAAAAATAAACATCTAACATCTTGAAGAACGCTCAACAGTTGATGGCCAAAACTTCAACAGACCTAGAACTTTATTCAACTGAAAGTTTACAAAAAACACTTTAACTTTATCTGGAAGACTTAATTTAGGGGAAGTTAAATGTGCCAAATGTTTCCAAAAGTTAGCTAAATTGCTAAATAAAAATTAGCTCTGCTATTAGCGGATTAGAGGTTGTGAGCTCACCACTGCGGCTTACTATGGGGGTGAAATGTATTATTAGTTAACATCTAAGAACTACCTTTTGCCCAATTACATCTACAAGTCTTTTGGTGATGTCTCTACCAAAATGGAAAATTTAAATCTACACAGCATTCATGATTTATATGGGCAAAGGGCATGGCATGATCATGGTTGAGCACAGTATTAGTTTCCATGACACACAGCAGTTTAAATGTAGGCTAAGCTGGTCCTGCAGTGATCAGAGCAGCTTCTTTCATAGCTGCCCTTGATTGGCTTGTGGCAAACTGCATATGGAACTTAAATGGCTTTCCTTCAGCAGTGGCTTTCTTCTTGCCACTCTGAAATTCCAGCAGCAACAGGTGGTTGTGCAAACTGTTAATCTGGTGAGGAGCTTTATATAAATTCACAGCATGCTTTTCAGATCTGATTATGTACTGCAATATGTTTGCAATATCACAGAAAATCCCAGTAAAAACACTGACGTTTGTGGTTGTAACGTGACAAAATGCGGAAAGGTTGGTTAAATACTTTTGCAAGACACTGTGTATACTAACACACATTTCTTGATTTTAATGATCCATTATGTCTTTACATCCTCACTTGGAAATAAAATGACAGAAATGAAAGATTTACTTGAATTTGAAGGCATCCTTGGGTATCGCCTTCTGTCAGAGTAACATACAAAATGTGTTTTTCTCAGGCATTTCCTGTTCAAACCAGGTGGAACATCACCAATGTATTGCACAACTTCACCGGGGTACCCTCTGACCTCCAGCACGGTGTACTCGCCTCCCCCACGCCCTTTACCTCGAAACACCTTCTCTCGACCTGCCTTCAGCTTGAAGAAGCCCTACAAGCACTGCAACTGGAAATGTGCTGCTCTCAGTGCCATCCTCATCTCAGTGACGCTGCTGCTGCTGTTAGCCTACTTCGTTGGTGAGTAGCGTGTGTGTGTGTCTCTTCACTGATGCGCGCCCCCCCCCCAAACCCCAACCCTTCACTCGCACGCAGACACAGGATGAGTCCGTTCTCTGCTGTATTTCTTTCATCATCCGTTTTAATGGTGTTTAGTCTCCGCCCGGAGCTCTACAAACACAGTTATATGGAGGCTTATAGATTGAGTCCTTACTCACACAAGTCGACAGAAAAAAAAAACATTATCATTCATAGATTTGGTCGGTTGAATCTGCAGATGGGCAACCGGGCGTCTCGGTCTCATGAATAGGCTGGGTAGGAAATAGATTAAAAAGACATCAGCCATCACTCGAGAGACAGGGGCTGCGAGTTTAGAATATTCATCTTGCGGGGTGTGATTGACCAGCTCTCTTAGGGTCCCAGCTGGATTAGAGGCATCAACTAAGTTACGCTATTAAATCAGTTCTGCTCAATTTGTCTGCTTCCATCCTATGAGGAATTGATATTCATATCTGAGGATGCAGTCTGCAGTTTGTCTGTGTGATCTATTTGCTGAGGGGATAGAAGTATTGGTGAAAAAATCTTAGCATTTAAAAATGAAAAAGGAGGTCCAAACAAAAGAGAGTACAAATCAAACACCTTCTGTTCTATATGGCAGATGATATACAGTGATGGTGAAAAGTTTAGATTTTCACCAAAGGATTGAATGGTATGAATCTCTGACTTTTTTTATGCATTTAAACTTAATTTTTTAGGGTGAAATGACTACAGTGTAGAACTTGAGTGAATTTTTGTAGTTTGAATTGATTCTGGATTTTTTTCCTCCCCACTATTTGAAACAATTATCCACAACCTTTAGTATATATTTGGTTCAATATCAATGGCAGAGTTTATTTAAAATGGACAGTTTCTTGGCATGGATCCAGCTTCAAAGCATAGTCCATACACTTTCAATAGACTTCAGGTGCCAGAAGCTTAATGTTAGCCTACATTAAAGACAAAAAAGAAAATGAGGTGGACTAGTAGCGGTTGCCAACATCCACAACAAGTCGCTGTGGATTATTGTCTCTGCTGCCAGAAAGCTGAGATGTTGGCATGTCTTGACAGTCATAAGACTGGGATAAATTCTATTTACCCTTATTGGTAAATACACATTTTATTTAGTCTTTTGAATGAGATTTTTGGGCAAACACTTATTTCTTAGTCAATCTAAATTGATGTTAAACTTGCTTCGCCACAGGCAGCGACAAACTAACTCAAACCTCTGTGGTAACAACGTTGTTGGACTGAAAATAACAACAGATGGGTCCAAATTAAACAAAAAGCGGGTTTTGCACCTTGTGAAAATTTTGTTTTAGTTCTTTTTACTGTTAACAAACATCTTGACTGATTTATGCCTGCAGGATGAAAACAAAGACCTTCAAAATCAAAAAGAAGATTTATAATATTTTCTGTAGAGCAATAATTCCAGGCAAAATGGGTTCAGATCCTTATATTAATTTATAACACATTTAAACAACACTTGACGAAAAGTTTTGACTTTTAAATATGCGCTGTATAATTTTTTTTAAATTAGTAATTAAAGTTCTATGGAATCCCTTGTTGTAAACGCAAGAAAACAGTTAATTCCCACTTCCTTTTATTACATTTTATACTATAAAAGTGCATCTATTTCACAGTGAATACCTTCTTAACATATAAATTGTGTCACTATTGAATCCAATCTCCCAGAGATAAAGAAAGAAATAAAGTAGCTGAATGATGATGGGGCTGGAGTTGATTTGCATGAGGGGAATAAAAGGCAGATCCCTCTGTACGGCCTTCATCAGGGAGATACATTAATTCTTCTTCGAGGACATTTGTTATAGATATTCATTGGGCTGTAACAATTACAAAAGCTATAATTTCTGCTTCACCTTGAGGCTAAACAAGCTAAGATCTTACTCATTCCTTTGTTGGCGGAGCCACTTAAAGAGTTTAATTTAAAATTAAAAGCAGTACAAATGTAAAGTGAGAACCAATGCATTTCTTCTTGTGGCGATTATCTATTAATTAGGAACAAAAGATGTGGTTTTGACTTGGGTTTTCAGTCTGTACGTTCTGCTTGTGACCTGGCCAAAAGCCAAATCATCCTGACAGCTCCTAATCAGACAATGCAATTACACCTCGACCATCTCCTGTTACAGCATGAGTAAACATGTTGGAGACCAAACCCCACCCTCAGATTGGAAATTTCAATCAAGAACAAGAGGCATTTTTAATTAAAGGCTGATGAGAAAATACATTTAATTTCAAGTGCAGTTAATTATTGAGGCCTGTAATTGGGACCTCTGGATGAGATGTCTAATAAAGCCAATTACGGCTCATGACAGATGTTTTGACTTCAGCTTGGTTTTCTTTTTTCCACACAGCTGGGTAAATTGACCCATTTTGAAGTGCAGAAAAGGTCGGGAGTTTTTTGATGGCACTATTTTCTCTGTGGTTGCTTGCTCATTAGCACATTTGTTATACGTTCCTCATTTTAAGGTCATCAGTATCCTCCTGTGTTCACTTTCATTCACCATGGGCATCCAGTCAAGGACGAAAAGGTTGGGCCCCAGAAAATGTTTGACTTTCTGATCCTCAAACTCAAAAAAAAAACATTTCTTATAACACAGATATGTACTTTGTAATTCAGAATAAAACAGTTTGATTCCGCTTCATTTAGCCAAAACCTAATAAAATGTATCTTTTTATAGATGCAGCTTCATGAATTAAAAAACATAATTGAAAAGCTGATTTATTTCAGTTGTTCATTTCAGAAAAGTGAAACTCATATATTATATATATTCATTATAGATTTCCATCATTTATTTTAATTAGTTTAGATGATTATGGCTAGTAGCAAATGAAAACTCAATTTTCAGTTAGAATTTTAAATATGACCCACTGAAAACCAATTTTAATAGAAAAGTCTCACTGTTTGACTGTGTAATGACTTACACAATCACAATGTATATATCTGACCTCATGTAGGTCCAGGTGACAATCACAGTGCCGCACACAAAGATGTGTCACAAAAAATAATTACTTTAGAAGTTGTTTACAAAGAGCTGTGTTTAAGCATTTTAATGGAAATTGAAGTGGAATAAACAAAAAGTTAGTTGACCACGGTATTCATTTGCCAGTTTTAACAGAAATTAAACATTACAGAAATGACAATGAAATATTAGCAGATATGAATGTTCAAAATATCTCCCTATGTGTGGAATAAATTACCTTTTGGATTAGATGAATCGTTTGATAATACTTTAATCAACTGAGATGTACTAATAAAACATTTGTTGTTTGTCTAATGTTTTCTAGATTTCATATCAATTTAACCATACCAATATATTAATAATAGAAAAAAATTACACATTAACAAAAAAGTAACTTTAAAAAACAAAAAAAACAGCAAAATCAGGTGCAACTGTGAGGAGTTGCAACAGTTTAATTGCACTAGTATTAAGATGTGAATAGACATTGGCTGCTTTCAAATAAAAGGTTTCCTGTCATTGACAGGCATATTGATTATTGATGTCTGGGTGTAATCCAGTGGACTAATCATGCATTAATTCCAATTAATGAAATTATTCAATCTAATTCCATTCATTTAAGAGTAAAGTAACTCTTACAAGAAGAAACAGACTTTAAGTCAAACTTCGATGTTAGTGTTGTATGGAATAGAATAGAAATATCCTTTATTGTCCCTCAGTGGGGAAATTCAGGTGTTCTGTTCCAACAGCAAAGTGACAGGGAAATTTAAGCTTGGAGATTCAAACCTAAATATAGTCTGTTAAACTACTGATACGCTGTTGGTTGATGTGAATGCAGTTTAAACTCAAGACAGTTTTGGAGGCAGGTTCTTACCGGTTTAATGTTTTGTTTTGACAGAAATACAACGCGGCACTTGCTGCCTCCTATAAATTGCTGGTTGAAGAGAATTTACAAACATCACCCTCCACATTTAGTGGCACCCCTGGCAAAGATTAATTTCAGCTTTTATTGCAGTAATATAATTTTCAACTTAAAAAATGATTCATTTCTCTGAGTGGGTTTTGGTTTCGGGTTTTTGTCTTCACCTGCCTTCCTCCATGTGCATGGTGGCAAGTTGAGCTTGGGAACTGTGTCATGTCATATTTATCACCTTGGAAATTGTGGATTTAGAGACTTCTAAGCCATGTGGTTAAAAATACATGTGATTTTTTGGTTGATTGGTGGTAGGTGCAGGACTTCAGTGCTTTAATTTCAATTAATTAATTACATAGATTTAATGCATTTAAAATGTTGACACAATTAATTATTGTTGGGGTTTTTTATGGCTGGAACCTATGTATTTGTACAATGATATCCACGGATGACAAAGCTGCTTCTCTTGTCCAAGCGGGGCAGATATTTAATCTGATGGGACTGTGGAAAGACGATTCCTTAAACATTTGAAAACTGAATTGCTATAATAGCTCTTTGCATCAATTCGGTTAAGTAACCTCAATAATAGATTAAAAATTATAAATATACTTGATAAGTTTATATGCCTGTATATTCGATAATTTAGGAGCAACAATGGTTATGAATAGAAAATGTTGCTTATTTTTTCATTATATGAATTGCTATTAATTATTTACGGTCCCTGCAATTATCTCTAAAGGTCCACAACTAGCTTTTATATTTTCATCTTTAGATGCCTGCATTGCATTTAGGTTTTAACCTGGAAAATGACAAGAAAGTTTCTTGTCATTATTGCTTCCTTTGAACTGTGAACCAGTTAAAAAGTGCCATGAACAGGCAACAGAATCATTTACTGCTATGGCAGATGACCCGTGCGCTGACTTCCTCAGATTGACCTTTGTTCTGTAATTGGCACATGGCATGACCCAACTTCGTGCTGAGAGATAAGCGAAAGGACGGAACAAGGTGTACTGACAAAGCAGAGATGCTACAAAGTGCAGTCCTCCTCACTCAGACATCTTTTCACTGCCTTCTGTCATTCTTGGTATTACATCCATTTTAGGCTATCATCAGAGGGCTTGGCAGTGTTTGCACAGTTTCTTTGCCGTTTCTCCTCCATGCTCTGCTCTTAATAAATACCTAGTAGACACTGACATAAGTCTTAAAGAATCCATTAGACTCTCCAGGGACGAATGGGGTAAAGAGTACAGCTCAGGAACACTTGATTACCGAGACATTTTGAATGACAACATACCTGGTGATTTTGCAAAGGGTTCAGCAACATAGTTGTTTTTTTTTGTTTTGTTTTGTTTTTGTTTTATTATTTTATTTTGTCAGTCAATATAATTCAACAGATCAAAAAGAATATCTTTTGGGAGCTTACAAAATGACAAACAACACCATCTGTCACTCCCCTGGTTGTCTTCCACTGACACAGTCACTTCTTCAAGCAGAATGAGCAGAGAACAGATGCTGGTACTGCAGCTGAACTCTGTTGCATTTGTGTTTTCATTGATAGATATGCACCTAACCTCCAGTTTGCCTAAGGATGTGGTATCAAATAAGGTTTTTGTTCATTAGGATTTTTCTTGGTGAATGTGTATAGAAAAGCCAATGCTTCCCTATATGTATTCTGACATTTCACACACAGAAACCAGACAAAATAACCTTCTATAACAGTCATTTCTACAGTGATTGTGTTTGCTAAACACACTTATTTGTCCATTGCTGAAAACACCTACTTTCAATCCAGACTTTCTTTCTGTGATTTAGCTCGTTTTGTTTTTTTTTGTTTTTTTTACTTTGAACCTCCACAATTATTAGCATGCCTGTTTAACTTGCACTGAAATATTTCTTCACTTCTCCAACACATAACTGTGGAGGGTTTCTTTTCTTTCTTATTATTTTCAATGCTTATCTAATTCTATAGTGGTCCTAATGCTCAAAATGCTTTTTACGTATTTATAAATTGAACAGAGGTTTTTAGAATGCACAAAAGCAGATGCTTTTAACTTTAGCATAATTAGCGACTAGTAGTTAGCCACAGTAATTTCACAGAGCCTGCCGAAAAAATTAACCAGTCCAGGACACAGTTTGTTAAAAGTGCACATTATAACAGGATGGAATTGTGGGGAGGCTTAAACGTTTGCTTATGGTTGGATTGTGTTTTCTTCAAAAACAAAAAAATCATTCCCATACTGTAAATAAACTTATTAGGGTTTACTTATTTATTTTTTAAGCAGGAAGAGTGGCATAGCAAATTAGAATAATTGATTTTACTCTCAAGTTTCCGTAATTTGGCAGTTATTGTTTTTCAAGCTGCTGACAATATATGGAAAACCTTGCACATATTTATAATTTTGTGTATTTTATATTTATTCATTTATTTTTTATGTATTATCAATCAATCAAGTTTATTTGTTTAGCACACTTCAGTCACAAGGCAGTTCAGAGTGCTTTACATCATGAAAACGTTAAAAGCATCATAAAACATCAAACAGTTGTAAAACCACTAACAAACATTACATTTTGTCAAGTGCCATCATCAAAATCATCGGTACTTATCAAATATGCTAATCAATGTTCCAGTGATTATGGGTCGAAAACAATTCGAAACAGGTTGGTGTTTAGCATTGTCTTAAAGTAGCTTAGTGTTTCAGCTGTTTTGCAATTTTCTTTCAGTTTGTTCCAGATTTGTGGTTCATAAAACTGAATGCTGCATCTCCATGTTTAGTTTTGGTTCTGAGAATGCAGAGGAGACTAGAACCTGAAGACCTGAGTGGTCTAGAGGGTTGATACAATGACAGGTCTTGAATGTATTTTGCATTAAATATCAAATATGTAAAGATAAAAATACAAATGTGATATCACAGTCTTCAGTTTCTTGTTAAACTTATTTGAAATAGAAATGCTGTAAGTGTTAAGTCACAGTCAGTGAGATGGAACATCTTACAGTGAGGTGTTTGAATGTCATTTAGAACATTTGGTTTAGCTCTAAATTTTAGGAGCTCATGTCATTATTTTATTATCACTTTCATTTTTAATCTTTTTAGCATAACCAGAAAGTGTTTAATCAACAAAAAGATAAGAAAAGTAGATGTTAGGTTTGATTCACTTGCTGATTGTCAGATGATTCAGATTAGTCAATTACAATTCAGGATAGAAAAATTAAGTTTAGGTGTTAAAACATAAAATTTGACATCATTTTATTCATTGTCCCAGAAGTACTTAGAATACACAACCTTAATTTCTCTATAGACAAAAAAATTAAATTAAATTAAATTATCGCATGCAGATGTTTATTTTGCCCCAGCTGGATTCTAAACTCTCAAGTAGTTTTCTGATTAAATTGTGTTGCTATTTGCATTGGAGGCTTAAGTGGACCAACCAAACAAAGACATGGCTGTATTGAGTGCATTGCCTTTTTCTGCTGACTGTTGCCTTCTGCGTTGGCTTTTGCCTTGGTAAGCTCATCTTGTCCATTCTCTTATTGGTGATCTGTCATGGTCAGCCCCTCCTCCTCCTTGCTGTGCTCTGCTACCATTGTTCTAAAGGACATTTCTTTTGTCGACCTTGTAAAATATCTTTGTGATTCATCTGCTTTGTTCACTCAGAACACCCCGGGTTTCTCTCTGCTGATGCGTTTTTCCCCCCCCAGGTTTGTCCTTTGGTTTTGTAGGGAAGCATAAAGGTAATAGGGTTGGGAAAATGACAAGACACAGAGGATTGACCATGCCAGTGTTGGTGTGGAGAGACACATGTGGTCCCATGGGCTTGTGATACAATTCATCCTGTAATGTTAGTGCTCAGCACTTTGGAGAAAGAGCCATTAACCATTGAGCCGAGTCACGCATTCTTCTTCAATAAAATGTCATCCACTCTGGTTAATTTTATGGAAGGTGATTAGTTTACTCAACGGAATGCATTCAAACTATTTCTGTCTTGTTTTGTTTAATATTCCAGCCATTCACCTTTTGGGGTTAAACTGGCACCTCCAACCCATGCAGAGACAGATGTACCAGCTGTCAGAAGATAATACAAGTGGCCTACCATTCCCTACAGACTTGAGTTTACCACCGCTAGGCAACACGGGGCTGGAGATACCAGATCACAGGGGAAAAGATGACAGTAAGTACACTCTTCTGATCTTTCTTTTCAGTTTTTCATGCTATGCCTTGCAAAAGTGCAACCACAAACTTCAAATTAATTCACTTGGACACTGTGTGATAAAAACAAAAAAACACAAAAAATCAAGGAATAGAAGGTTGTTAAAGGAAATCTGCAAATTATTTCTTTTATTGTGAGAGATTTTGATAGTTAACACCCTTCACTGGATTTCATTTAGATTTTTTGGGGCAGAGAAGTTGAAAACATGCTCGTCACATTTTTTTCTAATTTCTGTTTGTGAAAAAAGTTCAACTGTATGCCATTTGTTTCCTAATGTTGCAGAAAATCCCAATAAAATGCACAGAATCTTGTGGGTCTAAAGTGACAAAATATGGAAAAGCTCTACAATACATTTTGCAAGGCGTCATATTCTGTGAATAAAGCTACCTCAGTTTGTCTGCAGTTTTCCAATGCTTGGCACAGCTCCCAATTGCGCCCTCTTTAGAAAAACACTCAACAGCAAACAAACTTCTCAAATCTTAGTTTACAGATGGCATTTCAGAGCTCATGCAAGTTTGTAATTATTTTGTCATCCAGCTTCACATTGCGCTTGCTTGTCTCCACGGTATGCACAGAGATCTGCATTGTAATCCTATAAAAGTTGTTGTAAGTGGGAAAGTGTTGTTTGTTCCTGGAGGGAGAATATGGGGCAGCTTAAGGGATGGAGTATCCAGGGGCTGGAAGGGGATTAGCCACTCTGTCCCCTTCAGAACGGATGTGATCCTTTCATCTTCCAGCTTGGACTGCCTTTCCTGGCAGCCAAAGAAAGAATGTGCTCACCCTTTGGTACCAACTGCTCAAGTCAGGGAAAGTTTTCTCTGCTCCACTCTTGAGCAAATGCCCCCAGATCTGCACCATGTGATTTGCCACAGGCGGACTACAGTAGGTGCAGGACAGGTTTATTATCATATAGATGAATCCAGGCGTTGTCTTTTTCATTTACCAGACAGCAGAAAACTGTGTTTAGGTAACAACAAGGATGACTACAGCAAAACCCCAAAGCCTGCACAGCCACAACTGCAGATAGCAAATCAATGATTGCAGTTTTTTTTAAATAGTTTCATTTTCCACTGCCGTCACCAGCAACTGTGCTCAACTACCTAATGTATAATGAAGATGATGCACAGCACAGAGCCCTCTCTTCCAAACTTTTCTTTCCATCATGTCAGTATGTTAGTTGCAGAACAAAAATATTTAACTATAAGAGCCATTATCACTGGTCTCACCTTATAATTTATTTAAACAGTCTGATGAGCACACCATTAATGTGCTGCATAAATACACACACACACACACACTTTCCCTGCATGTGGAAACTGAGCTAGCGGGTTGTAGTATTATGTAAAGCCCCGATTGGGGAGTTGGGGAGTGTGCCCTGCCTTCCCTGATAAACCCCTATTGTCACTGATGGACTTTTGAGAGGACTTCCATCTGGTGTGCCACGTGTAACCTAAAGCCGTGTCTGCTTCCCTGTCCTGGGGGGAGATTGTATGGATGTCTGCTGTAGCCAGCATTGCTGCTGAAATTAGCTCATCTACAGAGTCAAACAGATGTTGCTATTTCCACTGAGTCCAATAAAAGTTGTGCTATGGAGCATATGGGGGATTTTTTGCAGGTAAATTCTCTAATACCCAAGCAGGTGATAGCAACTAAGTTCCCTCTTTACTATAATGACTCCTTTTTATTCTCTGTATTAAGAAGGACGTTTTTGAACAGTTTTTCCTCACCTCTGTCCTGTATTATTACTCTCTAACTGTAACAAAATAATAACTTTTGTTACTGTAAATATTTCTTAAACACAAATATTCCAATATTTTGGTTTTTCATTAAACGAAAAGTCAAATTACATTAAAACAGATCCATTGCCATTTAAAAGCATTCTTCCCGTTTAAACGTATTCACATATTTTTCTCAATTACAAACCCTGTATTATTTAGGGTTTTATAGGTGCAAATATTTTGGATAAACAAATACCGTAGATGGAATTGACATTCAGCATCCCTTACTCTACTATAATTAAATTAATAACATTTTGAATAAAAATGTTTTCATAAGCCATTTGATTGTAGAGTCCGTCTTTGTGTTTGTTTGAAGGTTCTATCAAGGGTTTAGTCAGAAGTTCATTATAAAACATGAGTGAACAATATCAGGAAAAATATCTACATAACACCATCCTCTGTGTTAAACTGGTGGTGGCAGCTTCGGCTTTAGTTTTTAATTTTTGTATTAAAAAAAATGCATATATATTTTTTCATGTTCGATAAAATTGTCCTGACAATAGAGTATGAGACGGATAATCTACAAAAAAAAAAAAAAAAAAAGCTCCTCACCCCCCTATCAGAGGGCGTATTGCCATTTGCAGAAACACACCCTCAGTCAGAAACAACCAATCAGAGCCTGTTCACATTTTCAGGCTAGTCGATGGTTTTCTCAGATCTCCCTTTCGCAGCTTTAATAGGAAGATGAATGGAGGGTAGACTTGGAGTTGACATTCATCTTCCAGCAGGATAGAATCCTTAACATGCAGTCAGAGGTACAGTGAAATGGATTTCATCAAATCATATTCGTTTTTCAGATTCTGGACTTAAATCTAACTGAGAATCTGTGGTAAGACTTTCCATTTAATCTGACAAAGCTTGAGGTGGTTGGTATTGAGGAATGGACAATAATTTCAGCCAAGCTGATAAACACCCTACAAATCCTGTCACTGCAATTGCAGCAAAAGATAATTCTCCAGAGTTTTTACTCTGGAATGCTGCCACACTTTTGAGATTTCTATTTGTAAAAGTAATTAAGAACCATGGACTGTTTCTTTCACGTCACAGTTATGCTGAGAAAGTTGAAAGGTTCTAAGGGTATGACACCGTTTGCAAGGCACTGTATAAAATGAAATTCAGTCAGATTTTTCTCACTTATATACCATCTTCTCTCCTGTGTAACTGGTAATCACTGTCAGTGGTCAGAGAGATCATTCATTATATATTTTTTTTTCTCTGGCTGTCAGCAATGTGATTAAATGTCTGTGATATGGTCAGACTCTTTCCTCCGCAGACCGAACCTCACCGCTCCTCTGCTCTCTGGACTAATGATGTGATCTCTTTGACCGATTAACTCTGTGTGCATTGCAGGCAAATTGGACAGCTTGTTCCCGGATGACAGCTATATAGATATGGGGGAGATTGACGTGGGTCGCAAGTTCGCCCAGCAGATTCCTCCTGGTATCTTCTGGAGATCGCAAGTCTTCATCGATCATCCCATGTACCTAAAGTTTAACGTTTCACTCAGCAAAGATGCCTTAGTGGGAATATATGGAAGAAGAGGCCTTCCTCCGTCACACACACAGGTGGGAAATATTAAAATACTCATGAAATGTCATTTCTATTCTATTTTTTGTAGTATCTGTAAGTTTTGTAAATGTGCTTAGTATGCAGACTGGAAATGTCTGCATAATGAGCAGAAAAGTATGGAATTTAATTTTATCATTTGCAAATTTGGTTAAATCTGTGGTACCAGAATGTTTTTTTGTTTTTTTCTTTCAATACTTACCACGCCTTGTATGGTTTATATCTTTCCCTTGTGATTCAGTATGCTAAAAATAAAAATGATTCTGTCTTAAATAATTCAGACATGGTTGGCATCAACACAGAGCCAGCATTTTGGGAGACCTTTTTTTACAATAACATCGTACCTCCATCTGACCAACAAATAAATATGGCGCGGTTTGGTGTTTCGGTTTTGGTAAGACCAATATTGGCTTTGTTGGATGCACATTTTCTCTTGATCACTGATGCAAATTTACCATGTTCGCCTTCGTGTGGACTTAGCCTTAGTCATCTATATGATTTAGTTGTCAAACCATTGGCAATTTAGTTTTCTTTAGCACAGTTTGGGCTTTGTTTCCGAATCTGCTTAACGTCAACAACTATGACCTCAGAATCTAAATTGGATTTCAAAGTTCTGTACGATATGCAGTTCATGTAGGACATAAAGTTTCCCTTTATGCTGATGATATTTGACTTTCAAACATGCATTGTTATTTTTTACCCACTCAGGTTGCTTATTAGGTTATGAAATAAAAGTGCTGAAAGTTAACTTTGCTTTTAAATTATAAGGTTCTTAAGCTGGACCTGTGTGACCACAAGATCTTAGGTAAAAGTTTTAACTGTAAAAAATATTTATTTTTAAATGAAGATTTTAATGGCAAATGCAGCAATGTCACTACCTTTTTTTTGTATACATCATAAAATGATCAGAGATCATGAATTGTGAATGAAAAAAAATCATTTACAATTCATGATATGATAATCTTGTTCAAAATAAGCACATTTCAGTGTTAGATTTTCAAATACAGCAGGTTTAAGTTCATCCAGAAACCAGAAAAGCTGTGAAATAACCCTTTACTAGTCTGCTGAAGCTGAAACTGAAACGAGTTTCAGCATCCTGTGTCTTTATGAGCTGTTGAACAGAGAGCTACTAAAACCCCATATGCTAATTTTTTGCACTCAGATTTCACAGAATGTTCTACACACTGCTAGGAAAATTGGTCTGGAAAAGTATTGAACTTTAAAATGTAAATTTGTAGGAACCCTGCAACACTATAAAAACAGGACTTAAAATGTCTTGTCTGTTTAGTGGCAGTATATTTAAGAATTTCCTGCACTAGTGCTGTGTTTTTCTTTTTTTACACAGACAGGATTGAATTATAAATGCCGTGCTGTGAAACAATTTACAATCATGGCCACACAGTGTAAGATTCTTCTTCTTTTTCCATTTTTTTTTTCATCCAGAGAAAACAAATTGGAATACTGTTTAAAAAAGGACTAACCATGTTGGAGCGTGTCATGAATACAAACCGCTTTATAAATTTCTCAGTTGTATTATGAATCACCTTCTTTGTTGCAAAAGGAATTTATGGCAGTTTTCTTTCAGGTTCAGTACCATCAATGAATCACAAAGAGACTGGACTCATGAGCCAAGAGAAGAAGATTTTTCTTTTCACTAATTTCCCATCTATGTGTCGTACAGAATGAAATGTTGTATTGTATTAGTCATTTCTGATATCTTGCCTTGCAGACTTTAAATTTCTGCTCTGAATGCAACATATGTTCAGCAAATTGCACATAGCATGATTTTTGTTTGCGCTAATGTCCAATCCGACTTTTTTTTATTTTTTATTATTCAGTTAAAAAATCAGGCTGGTCTTTTTTTCCCCCCTCCATTTTCACTTCAGAGAAAATAATCCAGAGTCGAGTATTCATCCAAAGACTGAGCACACGAGTCAGGATTCCTTTCATTTTGCGGATGAAAACGAAATGCTGCCTCATTGGTATTCATTGACTCTCCACTGATATGAAGCATATCAGAGCAGATGTTATTTGGTAAACACTAACTTTACATTTAATTTCCCCAGCTTTCCGTTTTCAGTTTAATAATTTCAAACAAGACTTTCATGTCAGATATTTGGACTATGAAATTATCACAGCCCATCCAACTGAGCTGTGTCAAGGCTTAACTCAGGCTCCTCTGGAATGATGAGTTATTCATGCACACCAAATGATGCTCTGCTATAAAGAGGGGCTGAAAGCACTGGAGTCTCATGTGTCACTCCTAATGGCATGTCTGTGGTCCATCCATCAGTTCATTCTCACTTTCTGTCTGCAGTTTGACTTTGTAGAGCTGTTGGATGGGCGGCGGCTTCTTGCCCAGGATGTTCACAGTCTGGAGGGGCCTGCAGCTCTACAGCGGAGTCTCGTACCAATCACCACACACGACACGGGCTTTATCCAGTACATAGACTCGGGCATCTGGCACCTGGCCGTCTACAACGACGGGAAGGAAACCGAAACCGTTTCCTTCCTCACCACTCCCATAGGTGAGTGCCGCGGGCTTGGCCTGCTAATGAAACCTGTAATAGCTATCCCTAATCCCTATAATACCAGCCTGCAGCACCCTGCAGCACCCTGCAGCAAACAGTGCGGAACTGGGGCAAAAGTAAAAGATACAGCTAGATTTCAGTGGCTGAGGAGAGTGTGGGTTAATCAAGGTGAAACGGAATATTACAAAATCAGGACATCAGCGCGATCCCACCATGCCACTGAGAAGGGCGTTGAGAGATCTTAATATCCTCATTAGCCTGAGTGTCTTCCAAGCGAATCAGGGGTCCAGCGTCTGGGAAACATTTGCATACAATTCAAAGTATGATTGTCCCCTCCTGCTAGTCCCCATTTTTTGATCACGCTTTGCTCCAATTTCCATCTGCTTACCATAAATCAAAGACGGAACGATATTCCTGCGCTCTGACTCCAGAGTGGCACTCAACTGCGTTTCGCACGCATGTCCTTCTTTGTGGAGGTGACTCCGTTTTGTACGTCGCTCTTTGTTCTCCCTTAAGCGTCTTTGATTAGCGCGGCTGTATCAAGCAAGGTGTGAGAGGGCCCGAGGTGTCGACTTTCACAGGCATGGCAGCTGGGAGCTGTTCTCACATGCTCTTTAATTAAAAGCTCTCGGGCCACGGTCCATATGTGACAGTGGCTGTGCCAGGCAGCAGATCGATGAGAGGCTGTCCTCGAGTGAAGACAAGCAGGAGATGCACTGCGCCCCTCCTGCTGTTCCAACAACAACTGTAATTCAATGCTTAAAATATGATACGACATGAGAAAGGGAGGGAAGGAAGGGTGCCATGTTTGCTTTTGCTTAGTTCTTCTTGACTGAATGTGCGCAAAGCCCTCCTGTGGTTTGCATCAGAGAAAACACAGCTAGATAAAGTATTCAGTACATCGGATTGGGTGGGGCAGAGATAGTCGGGAGCAAGAATCCTGGCTCTGTTAGTTTGTGTAGGAGCCGATCTGCTCACGGGAGCTCAGAGGGAGGCAGAGGGGCCCTTCTAAAATGGGTCACCGGTTAAGTGCCCTTCAGCAGAAATTTAATCCACCGCCTGCCTGAATCGTATTGAGCTGTGGAGGGATGGAGTTGACCTTCAAATGGAGCCGCACAGGTATAGAAATATATGTGTGCAATATCCAGAACAGGCAGACGGTGAAACAGAAGCAGCATTGTTTAAGAGACACTCACGGTGAAATTATTTTAGTTGTCTCTGGCAACACTGGGTGGAAAAAAAGTGTCGCTTTACAACCTTTTGCTCGTTACATGCATTAAACGGAAGCTTTTCTTGCTGTTTACCACCATAGCAAAAATACACACTTGAAACCAGATATCCTTTTTTTTTCATGACTCTCTGACATTAAATCAGACTGAAATGGACCTGTTTTAGGTCAGTTAGAAATAGCCCTTTTTTCTATTTACTAAAAGGCAGAAAAGTACAATTTTGGAATTACTTTCTTTAGTTTTATAAGTACACGTGATTTTAAAATGACAGTATTATGTATTTTCCAGACACTTAGTGCCATTTTATTGCACAATAAATAACTGTTGTCTTTAGGTCTTATGAAAATGCTGTATATAGCAAACACAAATTAGAAGAAATTTGGCTTTGCATTTTGATGCCTTAAAGTTGGGCTTCTGTCTCTTTAAGATGCTGCTACTTTTTCAGACTCTTTTCTTCTTTTTTGTTGTAGGAACAATAATAACATAAGATAAAGCTCATAATACCGCTGCTTTAAACAATTTTGAGAAGTCCAGATGGTGATATCATGTATTTAAGTCTATGATTAGCCTTTTTTAATAGCTTTAAGTTAATTTTAGGCACCGCTGTACATACATTTTAATGTAATACTTCAAATAAACTACTTCCTTTGTAACATCCTTGGGAAATCCAAAGATTTCATGAAAGACATCAGGGTTACCAGACTTCTAGTTCATCATTGAGTGTAATTTCCAGATGACTAATGGTACCACGTTCTGTTCAAACTATTGTAAACAAGTATAAATGTCTTTTGAATGCTGGTCTTATGAAGCTAAAATTCTGCTCTTTGGCCATAAAGACCATCATTACATTTGGAGTAAAAACAAAGAAACTTGCAGCCTTCACAACACCATCTGTTAGTGGGAGAAGCATCATGTTGTGTGTTGGTGCTTATCTGCAGGAGGGACTGGAGCATTTTATAAATTTGATGGTATCATGAAGAAGAAGGATCTCAAAGCATCAGGCACAATGCTAGGGCACAAATGGGTCTTCCAGAAGGACAATGACTCTACAGCATAGTGCCAAATTACAAAATAGCTCAAGTCAGTGATTTAAAGTGGCCATATAAAAGCCTGGATATCAGTCCCATAAAAAATTGGTCAGCATAGCTGAAAAGGTGTGTGTGACTGAGGTGGACTATAAATCTGACCACCTCTGTCACAAAACCTGTGGATAAAGATCAGAACGAATGATGCCCAAAACCGATGTTATGCATTTTAAAGACAAACACTAAGGACATGCATGAACATTTCTAGGGTTTAGCATATGAACATAATTTAGGTAATTCTAACTGACCTGATACAAGAAGGTTTTTATATGATATAAGGAGCCAAAAAAATGTCATATGACAAAATTTACATGTTTATATGAGTAACACCTTTAATCTGGGTTAAAATATGTTCTGGTGAATGTTTTGTGTTGCAACCCTCTGGAACCTGCAGCAATTTGTCCTTGCTTGCTTGAGCCAGACATGCTTTAGCTCTCCACATCTGGGGAAAGCAAAGGAAGTAAAAACCCAGCAGCAGTGTCTGTCTTTTTACCTTGACTCACTCCGTCGCTGAGGTTCTTTCTGTCTACTGCCTACCATCTTTCAAAGGTGTTGAGCGTCCTCTGAGACCGTGGCAAGTTGCTGATTAAACCGGCAGCTCCTGAACCCGGCTCTGTCCTCGCCGACTGCAGAGACTCACAATAGTTAGCTCCCCTGATATGAAGGGTAATGAATTTCAATGAAGCTCAGCTTGAATCCGTGATTTATGCGTTGGCCTATGTCGAGTGTGTGGCTAAGAGATATTCATGGCCTCCCTTCCTCGCTCTCAGAGGAATCACAGCCAACAGACGTGGGCACTGTGTAATCTGCTAAACTGTGCCAGCTTTCAAAATAAGAGCACAGCGCAGTACAGGTTTGACAGGTTGTATGGTGTTTAGCATAGAAATGTGGATAATAGTTTAGCATTAATCAGATGCATCCTGATGCAGTCTGTTCCCAGAATAATTATTTCACCTGATTAGAGTTGGGCTTTTTACGAAATAACACCTCTGTATGCTACAGTGCCTTGTTTACACACCTTGAAGTTTTTCACACTTTCTCACAAAGCAGCACAAACTTTAAAGGAGCAGCGTTAGAGACTTTCTAGGCACATTGTGCCATTTTATGGCACAGACAAGTAACTTTGTTACCTTAAATTTATATTAAAATGCTGCATGAATCAAACATAATTTGGCCTTTGTTAAGAAGCTCATACTCTTCCTGCCACTCTGCTTTCAGCATGCTGCCACAACAGTGAATCTCATTATGCCGTTTTCAATCATTCTTAGGTATGTAGAATTGAAAATGAGACAATATGTGTCACTTTATGGGAGCAAAAGTTACACCCCAAGTATGTTTTTAATGAGGGAATAACATTATAACATGATATAAAGTAATACCCCATCTATAAGGTATTTTATTTGGATTTTATACGATAGACCAACACAAAGTTGCACAAAATCAAAGTACGGACTGAGCCTAATCAAAGTTCTTAACTAATTGCAATTGAGAATCTGGGGCAGGATTTGAAAACTGCTGACTACAGACATACTAGACATGTCCCAAAAAGGTCTTAACTGACTCTTTAATGCAAAATGCAATTTGTATTAAAAAAAAAAAAAAAACCCTGAATTTACCATCCCATCTTTGCAACATGGTGGTGACTTCATCATTCTGTGGGGAAGGTTTTCTTCATCAGAGGCTGGGTAGGAGATCAAAGTTGAAAGAAATACTCGCAGCAGTACATGCAGCAAAAAGTAGCACTATGAAGTGTTACAAGGGGAAAGGAATACAAATGCATGCAATACTTTTCTTCTAGTTTTTGTTAGAAAATGTGAAAATCATGGTATAGTTTCTCCCTTTTTCACAGTCTACTGCTTCTTCTATTAAAAAATACAGTTAAAAATAGTCCAAGTTTGTGGTTGTAAAATAAGACGATGTGAAAAACTTCAAAGGTTGTGATTACTTTCGAATGGCATCTTGAATCTTACTTTTGTAATAGTAATAACAAGTAGGAGTTTCTCATTTTGAGCAAATGCAAACACTGTATTTAATTTTTGTTACCATGACCTTTGTGGCCTAAAGATGCTGCTGGTGTTTTTGGCTTTGTGCAAAAAATCCTTGACCTCTTTGTGTACTTAGTTTGTTTAGAGGCCATCAAAAACCCACCAAACCTCAGAGTGCTTCCACCCCACCGGAGGATAGTGTTCCCTTCATCCCTTAGCTAACCCAACATGGCATAGGGAAGCCGACAGCACATTAATACAACAGGCCCCTCCTCCCTGTCTTCACAGTCCGTCTCTGGTCAGCTTGTATCGTCCTCCCTCTCTTTCTTTGTCTTTTTTCCCCCTGCCTTCTATTGCATCCTTAGTGATGATTGACTCTCCGGGGTACCGGGAAGCTGAATCCACGACTCGCGTTTCTTACTTTTTGTGTAGTACAAGAGAATCTTTGTTCAATAAGTTTTAGCCCTAGAGTGTGTGCTGCCTGCAGGCAGTGGACAAGATTGGATAGTTTTTCAGGACCATTTCAGACTTAATTTGCTGAGCATCATGTTTCTGGCCTGTGCTGCTGTCTTTGGAGATCACTGATTGGTCTTGTCTCTAATAAAAGGATGTCTCAGAGTGCAGCGCTGGAGCAAATGTTTTTAGGCAGTATATTGGACATAATTTGAGAGACAAATAAAAGATTTTTTAGACATGTTTAGGAAAAAGAATTTAGACTTGGCTTTGTTTTATTTCCATTATAAGGAAGGTTGTGATTACTTTCGAAAGGCATCTTGAATTGTAAACTCTAGTTTACAATCATGTGTCTTGCAATTGCAAATACATGAAAATGCCTTTACAAATGTCTTTACAATATGTTGAGCTATGCTCTTCACCACTTTCATTTTATTCATGATGTCCTTCACTTGGTCGTCGACTTCTACTCCAGATGCCATTGTGCTTGTGATGTGCGAAGGAAACAGGCACAGAGAAAAAATGGCTGCTGACTCTGTAATATTCAAGGTTCTTACTAAGGCCTCATTTACATGGAGATGGTTGCCACTATAACTAGACCTTTTCTGTTGCGATCCAGTGACTGGAGTCTCAGATACCCGCACTTTCTGAAATCAGGTATCAGGGTGGAACTTTTCAGGAACACCCCCTGCGGAGGAGGGAAACACACATGTACAGGACACAAGTGTGCAGGTTTTGTTCTACACATGCTATGTGTGCTTCTTAACATTTTCAGTTAGCACATTCTGATCATTCTCTGATATGGAATATTTGTGTATTGCATGAGCACTTGGTTCATCAGAGATGGGCAATTTCCGTTTAATGCAGACACTCTATGGACCTCCGAGGCAACAAACAGTGAGCATGGAAACTTTGACGTCATTTTATAATCACAGCACCATCTAGTGCCCTGGCATGACAACTACAGCAGATTTAAGGTGTCCTGGCGGTCTGTGACACAGTCCTGTTTACATAAAAATAGTCTACCTCACAAAGTTTTTCCCATGAATTCACACTAAACTTTTGTGGAATGAATTTTACTTTTCAGGAACACCCCCTGAAAAGTAAAATTCAGGGGGTGAATTTTACTTCTCAGAACAGTCTGTAACAGCCTGTTACCGACTGTTCTGAGATGCTGAGAACTTCAAATTTGGAAAAATATGGATTTCTAACACTGAGTGTAGGAACCCTGAATATAGACTTTTCACCAAGTTATGCAAATTCCACTTACAAGAGTGTTTCTTAAAAAATGGGCTACTAATAACCTAAAACAGACCTGAAATATTCGGTCTGTTTTAAAGGTTAACCACACACATTAATAGTAAACTCTGCAGAGAACTTATAAAACATTTAGATTGACATCAGTTTCATTTGAAAAGAGTACCAGTGGCATATTGAAGGGAAAAAGAAAATCCTCTAGACTTATTCTTCACACACACTCCTGCTGTGCAGCAGCATAAAGGAAACTTATACAAGGATTTAGTCCATTTTCATAATCACCATCATTGGTAGTTTGACTAAACCTCAAGGTAATCTTTATTTTAGAATGTAAAGTTTATTCATCAACTGCATTCTTGACTCGCTGCATAGCTTGGAAGTTACTATTAACTGCATTGAAAATGATCTATTTAGCATGAATTATTATGAGTCTGCTGTAAATCACTCGTTTGATTGCAGTCCAGCTACAATTAGACAAGATGCCAAGGAAAAAATCGTGTGTCCGTGTGGAATTTTAACTTCTAAATGCAAAGCTGATTTACATGTTGCATTTAAAGACTGCAGCACTTGATGAATTGGCAGAGAAGGAATACAAAGTGTTCTTTTCAGTTTTCTCACTGTTTCTGTAAATACCTTCCCTGACAGCAGAACAAAGACACAAAGCACTGACATGAAAACGTGCAGGTTTCACAGTCGCTGACCTCATTTAAGCAATCAGTGCTTCAAATTAGGATTATCAAATGTTGCTAATGTTGGTCTTTTCGACATTTGGGTAATTTGGAAATTTTGAGAACTGGAATGATTTGTCATTTCAGTCCAGGCGTAAGTAATCACTACTTGTTCTCCCTGCCCATGAATCAGCCCATTTGTGTGGAACATAAGTAACACTCAAACAAGTTGCATGCAGTGAAATATAAACGTCGGGGCTGATGGAGCGTGTTCTCATCACTGTCATTAGCAAAGGGAAATAATCAGTAGAAGGAAATGAGTGGCATGAAATTTTCTTTTTTTTTTCAAATCACATTACTCAGAAAATCTCTTGATTGCTCTCTTGTAGATTCCATTGATGACTGTCCCAGCAACTGCTTTGGAAATGGTGACTGTGTTTCTGGAACGTGCCATTGCTTTTTAGGATTCAAAGGGCCCGACTGTGGGCGAGGTGAGTCATTTCCTGTCATAGTTCACATTTATTCCCATCATTCAGATATAAATTAGGTCACTATGATAATCTCATTTATGGCTTTTATGCTTTGGGGAGAGTAATTTTTATGTTATTGTAGCATGTAATAGATTTGTAATAATTCACATATTGCAAATCAAGACCAAATTATTTATTTCTGCCTCTGTCTCTACTTGAAAAGAGCGTATCACACAAGCAAATTTACATAGTACCTGGCTAAAATTGTTTTTGTTTAATTAGTTTTATGTTTAATGCCTTAAAATGATTAGTTATGTTTAGTTTTGAAGGGAAAAATCCACAAAACTACCAGTATTGTCACCCCAAGATGTTTCTAAAAAGTACTGGTGCAGTTTTGTAGTTTATACTTTTTTTGTATTGCAATGTGGAAGAATCCTTGTTGACTTGCTGTTTGCCTGTAGTATCGCAATGTGACACAGAAATCAAATTATCTTAGCCACTCCTCTTCATAAGTCAAGTTATGTCTCGAAGAAAACATCACCTTGCCTAAATTTCCCCATTTCTAAACTTGGAGGATAATGGTGTTTTCCTTCCTTTGTATCAGATTTGTTTTATATCTTTTGGCCTTTAAATACTCCTGCAATATTAAAATATCAAAACTTTCAGCTATTAAATACACAAGATTATGATTTCTTCTAGGCTATAGTTTTATTAACTTAATATTCTATTTTTGATAACATAAACCATTTTGTTCTCTAAAGCATATTTTACTTCCTCTTCCTCTGAAAATACCATTCAGATCATTTCCCATTTTTAATGATTGGTGACTAATGTTACCATATTAACTTATGCTAGCACAGCATTGTCCATTAGGTAAGCGTGAAAGTGTTAAGATTTTAGGTCAAGTTTGCTAATGCTAGCATCTTCGCTAATGTTAGCTTCTCAAGCTATTCAGTAACATGTTTTAATTTCACACTTATGATAAATTATGAAATTTATCATAAATTGAACACAGGTAGCATATGGCTTTAACAGATTTTGTTTTCATTTGATTTCAAAAGTTTTAGGCTTTGAATATTTTAACTGATTTATAAAGCTCAACAGGTTATTCTGCTTCAGCTCAGTATGCAGAATTGCATTCAGTTTACTGCATTCAGACATCATTTATGAATTAATGGGATAATACGTTTAAAAACATTGGTTTTCACAAAAACAAGTCTGGACAAAGATCAGAGTTAATTTTGCCACTATGTGTCGCTAAAAGGACTGCAGCAGAATCACTCATTTCACTTTTTGTCAGTTGAGGCTTTTATTTTACAGTGAGCTCTCCATTTAAATGGATTTCTGCTCTTTGTTCTTCTCACAGCTGCCTGTCCGGTGCTGTGCAGTGGGAATGGTCAATACCTTAAAGGTCGTTGCATGTGCCACAGCGGCTGGAAGGGCTCCGAATGTGATGTTCCCACCAGCCAGTGCATCGACATCACGTGCAGCGGCCATGGGACCTGCATTGGGGGGACCTGCATCTGCAACCCTGGATACAAAGGAGAGAACTGCGAAGAAGGTGCTTGTTTTGAATGTCACTTTAACTTGCCTTAACCTAATATAATTCCACATAATATGATTCTAGCTCATAACATCCTATCAACCTATTAGAGTTAGACATTTAAAAAGTGTACTCATGTGTGGGGGTTTCTATTTTGACTTGATAGCTTGAACTCTTCATTAGTGAGGGGAATATACATAAATCTATGAAATATACATCGTATGTGGATTTGCTTGGTTAAATCATGGGTATGAGGCAATATTCTGGTTGAAAACAGCGCATTTAATGTCTGAAGTTCAGACAATAAAGTCTGATGTTAATCTAGGGGGAACTCCACCTTCATTTGTCGCTGGTAAGGTTTGACTAGATAAGATTGAAGGAGCCATTGTGTTTGTCAGCTCTTGAAGGCTCTCATTTCAAGATGAAAAATGGACTCTGGGACTTTGATAAATGGGGTTTGTGACATCCATAGGCCCCCATTCTATTTTAGGTGGAGTGTTAGCCATAAGGAGTGGAGGGGAATGTGCACAAGGGCCCTTTAACATTTTTACCTTTCTTCAGTGTGACCTTCAGCAGAAATGATTAATTGCCAGGAGAGAGTTTCTTGTCAGTTAGCCTCTGATCTTTGTGTCTTGAGCCCAAACCATCTGCTAAGAGGCGAGAGATCCCGTTTGTCTAGCTGTAACAGTCTTTTTATCCATTTTTTTGTTATGATAAAGGAGACCTGCCATAGTGTGGCCTACTGCTCTCAGAGGCTAGACGTTGCTCCTACTTGGCATCCATTTGCCATCTGTGTGCACAAATAACTTATAGCGAGAATGCTGATTCTGTGATTGTACGCTCCTGCGACCGTTGCTCCCTGGAAACAAGAAACGTCAGTGATGGAGCGATTAAGAGAAAAGGCTGTTTCATTGCCATGCAAACATATCATAGTTATGTCTTGTAATATGACCACAAACCTCAATGTATTTTCTGAGGATTTTATTTAACAAACCAAAATAGAGTATTATTTTGAACGCAATTTAGGAAATTACGTCTATTTTTTTTTGTTTGCTTTTTGCAAACCTTTGCCAATTATCTTTGTGACCAGGATGGGAGTGATTTATTTCTACAGAGGGCTGTAGAACCACAAGGAGGAGGCAAATGAGCTCAATTTTCTTGATGGATTTCTTAGATTAAACTCAGAACATAGTGGCAGATTTAACAAATATGTAAAAAACACATTTTTATAAAAGTTACCTACTGCAGTTTTAGTCGGCATTGATGTAACAATCCTATGCAGCTGGTCTTGAGTTGCCAAGGGCCCTTCTGGTTTATTTTCTGATCAATGCAATACTCTCCTAGCCTGTCGATTTTAGATGGATGTCTTGGTAGGTTTGCATATGTGTCGGAGTTCAGACTTTAAATTCATACCACACTGTTCTTATTTTCATAAATAAAAGAAGTTTTCCATGTTATTTTCCCTACTCTAGAGTGATGCACCATTTTTCCTTTCATAAAATTCTAACAAAAAACATTGAAGTTTTCCATTACAACATGACAAAATGTGCAACGCTCGAGAGATATGAGTTGCCTATTCACCGTTTACTGAAATAATGGTGTGTGCACCGAGCAATGTACAAAAAACAGAGCAAAGCAAAGCCAGTAAAAGGCGCCTATGAGTTTGACTTTACAACGCTTTTTTGCCATACAAGTCTGCTTACAGACTTTTATTTACTGCTTATTTACATCCACTTAATGTAGGCTTCGCAATTTTTTTTTTTGCCTTGTTTTTTTGCTACATGAATGTGTTTTTTTTTTTCCAGCTATGTATTTAATAAGCAAAGCTGTCCCTTCAGAGAATTTTTTTTTTACACAATAAATGGAGAACGCCAGCAGAAGTGTGGGCTGAACCTGTAGGTTTGTGCCATAACACCAACTAAGCAAACAGCCATTTAATTTGCTTCTATGTAAATCTTTTCTCCAGCTTTTAGAAAAAAAAATAAAAAATTCTGTCTGCTCCCTCTGTTCATTCATTGTTCGTGTGCTAAGCTGGTTGCTGCTGCATTTGAGCTGAAGCCCACTGCTGTTGTCATTTTGCTCAGGCTCGAGAAAAAAAAAGAAAGAAAAAGATGCCAGGATGCTTGTGAAAAGAGGGAAACAGTAGGTGACTGGTGTGTCTAACACTCTCCCCTTTGTCAAAACGCTTTTAGTGGACTGCCTGGATCCAACGTGCTCGGGCCGAGGCGTTTGTGTCCAGGGAGAGTGCCACTGCTTCATCGGCTGGGGAGGGCCGGGATGTGAAAGCCCCCGGGCCTCCTGCATGGACCAGTGCTCTGGACATGGAGCTTTCCTGGCAGACACTGGAACCTGCAGCTGCGATCCCAACTGGACCGGCCACGACTGCTCTACAGGTAAGCACTTCCATAATGAGGGGAAACATTGGCAGGGTTTCCTTTGTAGGAGCCAACTGAGCTCTGATTGCAAGGTAGAAAAACATCTGGTATCAGGCCATCGTCTTGTTGACTGTTAACCAGTGCTTCTCAATAATGAAGCAAAAATATTTGCTCTAAAAATAAGATTGAAATACAAAATAACATATTTTGACATGGCTTATTTTATTTAGAGGTGGGACTCGATAATTTTATATTGAGTTAAGTGTAGGGTTTGTGATTAATTAATCATAATTAATCACTATATATCACCAAAATAAGATTTTACAGTTCAAAAACCCTTTTTGTTGCTAATTTGTTGAATAAATAGACAGCTGAGCCCAACAACAAATATTTTTATTGTTTTCAATCTGTTGATTTCAGTCAGTCAGATTTGGGTTATTCAACCGTCAGATTCGTGCATAATGTTATTTAACTTTTATTGATCCTGATTAATCAAGATCAGTAATTCTTGATCATTCATGTAATTACTTTGAACAAATACTTCTTTAAAAATGAGGACTGTGGATGCTGACACAAGGTTTTAGGAACATCTGTGCTGCTGCTTTGCATTGAGACAGTATTTTAGGCTTGAATTGCTTCGGTGATGGGCAAAGTCCTTATACCTCAACTGGCACACAACAATAGCAGCCAATCCGATTGTTTTTTGAAGAAAATATTAACTACCAGAGGGCAAAGAGAAGCAGTTTTGTCATCCAATCACGCTTGTTTGCGGATGTTGCTTGTCTGTCGGATTTACGGGTGTACTTTAAACACAACACAAAAGTTCTGACTTGGAACTTTTTGTATGTAAGGAAGAAAAATGAAAAAAAAAAAATGGCATCGGTAGTCATTCCTCACCTGGAACTTCAACTTGAAATGTATGCTTTGAGCAGATGAAACTAAGATTGAGTTTCTTTTTTCTGGTATGAAACAAATTGTGAATATGTGGAAAGGCATCTCCTCCCCATTGTTAGGTACGGTAGAGGATCTGTTATGTTTTGGGCATGTCTGTCTCCCAAAGACCAAAGAACTTTGTTAGAGTCACAACCCCTTTAAAAAAAAAGAGAGAGAGAGATTTTAAATGAAAATCTGGTTGCCTCGACCAGAGAACTGAAAATGGGTCAACACTGGATCTTTAAACAGGACAATGACCCAAAACATGTGTCCAGATCAACACATAAATAATTAATCAGACACAAAATTAGACCTCTTTTCATGGCCACCTAAATCGTAAAGGGAACCTGAAGCTACAGTGAAGAAAGTTTAGACAGATAATGCTGAGATTCTTCTCTCCATGTTCTCAAATTTGGCACCAAAGATTTTGTTAATTTGCTAATTTTATTAATTTTTTGCTTTGCACACATCGTTACCAAGGTATCCAATAAACTTTTGTTGTGCAGTTTATCACAACAAAGAATTAAAACAACCTTTATTTTTTTTTAGAAACCTGTCAGTCTTTGATTAACTCCACTGTTGTGTGTAAATGCATTTCTGCCTGATTACATGTTTCTTCTTCAGGCTTTTCTGTCTGAAGTAAACATTTTGTATTTTCCAAGCTCACACAAATGCCTCAGTGGTTCCCGTCAATAATCAGTTTGAGGTTCACAGTAAGCAATCAAATCTGGTTAAATTTGTGTGATACTTTTTCTGTTGCCCATCAGAGCTTAAATTTATTACAACTGACAACTAACATCAACAACATGTAGCACAATTGACATCTCAATCACTTCCTCTGTAAAATCCCATCACTCTTGCTTCCAAATTTATCTCCCAGCTTGATTCAGATCAACTTTGCTAATTGCGAGGCTCATCAGAGATGTGAGCATTGGTGATTTTCTTAATAGAAAATGTCTCGCGTAAAGGCATAAATTAGCCTCATCAATTATCGGTTGGAAGTCCAAGGCTAGCAGTCACATTTTTGTTGATTCTGTTCTTAATTTACATCTTTTACGGACGGTTTCCTCCTTTAGTTTCTGCATGGTTAGGTGGCAGCTGCGATTGGAGGAAAAGATGCACAGCAAAGCAGGTATTCTGCGGAATGATGCAAGTTAATGCTTTCTTTAAATCTTGCTATCTTCACAAATGTGCAACATTCACAGCTAAGAATAGTTTTTTTTTCTTCTCTGCTCTGGGAGGCTGTTTCCTTTCTGTTCATTAAGTCCACAGGGAGAGTTCTCGCTTGGTAGTCAAGAAAAGGTGAATGTCATCTAAAATTTTAAGGTACAACATTCCAACTGAAAGAAAAATGAAAAGCTTCTGTTCTTACAGCAGCAGAAAAATCCCAAGCTGCTGGACATTATGGGGCTGTTGAGGTTGACACAACTCAACAATGTAAACAGCGACAGCGACGGTCGGGACTGGTGTTTCCGATTTTTAAGAAAGAAAACCATAAAGTGTGTTCAAACTATCAAGGCAGGACAGGGTTATTTGTACGGGACATTTCAGCAACAAGTCAAATCAAAGCTGGCAAGAAACATTACAGTCTTTTGGCAAAATAAAGAAAAGCAGTGAAAAGTTTGAATAAAGACTTTGATTAATGATGTTCTAGATATTATAAAACAAAGTTTACACTATAAACAAATGGATTTTTGGCTTTGATTTAAAGGAACTCAGTGTTTCAACACTTGCAGTTCTCTAGACATTTGTTCCAGAATAAAAGGGCAATAAAGCATCACACATTTCAGGTGTGTTAAAGCAGAGATGCATATAAACGTTGCAGGACTGGCCCTTGAAGACTGGAGGTGCAGATGCCTGCTGGTTATTGAACCTCAAATTAAGGAGAAGCTATGTGGTTTTCAGCATGTAGCCATGGAACAACAGACCAGCTCATAGCTGAGAGGGCTCATGACTTGAGCAAACATCTTTTTTTTTTTTTTTGCCTGTATGCAGCCCATGTATAACTTTTTTGGGGCAGTCTGAACAACCCAATTCTGACCTGTTCGCCCAAAAAGAATCCGATTTGTGCCACTTACATACGTGGTGCTAAACGTATCCGATTGGTTTCAGAGTCTGCAGTCTGTCGGATTTTGTCTGATTGTTTTGGGGTCATAAAACGTTCACAACACAGAAGTCTGATTGCAGTCACAACAACTACACCAAAAAAAAAAAGAATCTGATTTCAGCAAAGATTCAGAATTGTGCTTCAAGACCTGCTGTGTGAACATAGCCTAAGATTTTTTTGTCTCCCAAGTCATTTTGTAGAGGTAACTACAGCAGTAAAAGACACCGAAAAACTTTTTGAACTTTGGGGCCACCCGACTATATGATGACCCCACCCACAACTCAGTTGTAATGGAAAACCACCCAAACTGTGTGGAGTGAAGTTTAGCCAAGTCGATGTGCGCTGATAGTCTAGTGGAAAACGGCCATAAGTGTTCATTTTGGGTGTTTTTTGAAGACTGACATTTTTGCCATATATATTTACTCAGTATTCACATTCAGCCATTCACAGGCTGGTAAAAATGAACGTGTTTACAGAGTCTACCATGTCAATCTTCTTGTTAGGCATGTGTCACTCATGCTGTATGCAGAATGTTACAGAAATGGGTATGTGAACGGCCAGCTGAATAATTCCCCTTCCCACCATGGTGCACGCCAAGACGCCATTTGTGAAGCCAGAAACAGCAGTGAGAAATCAAGTGTCAGGGTCTCAGCTTTGCTTTTTCACAACGATGTGGTTTTGTTGGCTTCTCCTTCCCATGAATTTAAGCGTGCACTGGAGTGGTTCACCGTTGAAATGAGAGTCAACTCAAAGTCAGAATCCATGTTCTCAGTTGCTAAAAGATAGATTGCTCTATCCATGTTGGGGGCCAGTTTCTGCCCTAAGCAAAGGAATTTAAGAGACTTTTTGGCAGTAGAGACGACATAATCATGTAGAGGATGACTAAAACTGATTCATCTACATTAATTCATCTGCCACTTAGGTCTGCAGACAGTAAGTTGATGAATAAATGCTAATGCAATATTTCTTGTGAAATCTGTTATTGTTTCCTTGCAGATTTGCACTTCAGATATTTTTGGTTCAGCAGGTTTCTGATGTGTTGATAATCAGCTCTAGTTTTACAGCTGCAGTCTATTTTAATTTGTATTCACATAATTCATTCTGAAATGAGAGCCTTAGTACAGCAGCAGCCTCTCTGATCCACGAATCCCTTTTGTATTCCAAGCAGACATGATGACCTATTAGGTAATCCTAAGGATTTGGGGGGAAATGGGCAGTTAGTCTGGGTGTGCCTTGCAGAGAAAAGGCTCTGTAAATGATGATGAGTTGGCTTTTTATCCTCCTTTATCCTGTTCATTGTCGAGCTTTCTGGGCTCTAATACAGCAGTAAGCTATGCTGTGGGGTTCTGCAGAAAGCTGCATATTACCTTGCACCATGACGGAAAACATGGAAAGCTTTCAGAATACTTGAAATTGATTTCCTTTCTTCCTCTATACTTTTTATATGACAAACCTCTTTTCTCTGCTGTCTTTGGAGCTGTATACCAAAAATGTACACAGTATGTAGTAATTCTGTTACTACCAATAAAAGTATGCCTGAGGTTTTATGTATGTTTTTTATGCCATTTTTACCATTTCCTCCCACCCAGAGGAAACTTTGTTTACCCAATCCTTTTGTGCAACAGCCATCATAAGAGCAGAGGTGTTTCTCACTGTGCGAGCTCCTCTTGCCAAAGATAATGCGAGTTTATTTGTAGGTGGTAATTGCATCTTTATTATTGTAAAGGTTCCCTTTTTGTTCCAAGTGAACATTTGTGTGAAAATCACATTGGCTCTGGTTTCTCTGACCAGTATTCATTCCAGTGAACTGCAAGCATCTGTTTTCTCCCCTCTTTTCTTTAAAACATGTGTGAATGAGATCTCTAGATGTTTATTTGGTTTTTTAGCACCTTGTATTAAATGCAATCTTATCTCCAGAGAATGTGAAAGTCAGCTTGCAAAATTATCGATTTTTGTCATATTACAGCAACAAATGTAAGGTTTTAAGTGAAAGATCAGTTGTAGTGCATACTTGTGCAGGATTAAAAATGATGAATGTCCTTTAACATTTTCATAAATAATTCTTAACAATCTGAAGTATAAAAAATAGTGTAAAGAATGTCTAACTTTGTAAGCTGGTTTAAAAATGTACAATGTGCATATGTGTTTGATGGGGGAAACGTTCAGAGGGTGTGAAAACTTTTTAAGTCGATGTAAATGTTTTATGAGTGAATCATTCCCATATGTTCTGTTTGCTTATGCAGTAATCTCTGTTTGTGCGCTGGCTGTACTCAAACTCTTTGGAGGCAATTATCCAGACACTACCAGCATACTTAATGCATCAGAAGTCAGATATGAAATTAGGACTTGCAGAGTTTTTTGCTGATCTATTATAATTAGCAGAGGAGGGTGAGATTATTTTTTAAAGCTTTTTTACACACTGTTGCCATGTTAGGGTTTTTGACTGAAAAATAGCACTGAGATTCAATTTGTTACGATGGCAAAATAGGCACCGCAAACGCTATAATTGACTTATTAAAAGATTTTACCTCCAGTTTGGTCCCCTGTGGTCATACATGAATTGGTTTGGCTAATAGGCCAGTAATAATATTGTTCATTGTTGCCTATACTACTAAGCCCTCTTTTACCACAGAATAGTTAATAAAGAGGTTAACATTTCAAAGTAATCTGTCAGTGTTTAATTTCTTTGCGCTTTATGCTTGTCATGCTCTCCCTCGAGTTCATGAGATGAGGGTAAAGTCCCGGGCTCCGTCACACCCAGTCAGGGAGGTCTTTCAGCTGCCACACAATAACGGGACCAGACTTCACTGTGTCATTCTTCTGCAGTTCATGAATGCACTTCCTCCTCTGCTCAAAAAGCTCTAAAAAAAAGAAATGGAAAAAGTATATTGAAAATATTCGTCTAAAAGGCATCATCCACTGCAGCACTTTTGTTTCACTAACAATTGTACGTTGCAAGTAAGTATGCATTTCCACCACAAGATTTTGTAAAATTAAAAGTTTTTAAAAATCTCTTAAGAAAAAACTCTATACTGTATTGGTATATGAACCGATGACACCACAAGAGGCACAAAAGACAGGGTTATCATCTGGATGTTTGTGAATATTATAATGGATGATTGACTTTTCATAGATTTAGGTCCACTTGAGTTGCGTTTGACCTGCAATTCAGTCTTTTTATTTTTGCCACACTTTAAATCTGATGATTCTCAAGCCAAAATTAATACTACTGTTAATGGCAAAACTGAACAAATGGTGATTATCTTCAGAAATTCATCTCTTGCCTTAGGCCTTATGTGATGTCACTAAATGTATAGTGCTTTTAGAAAGGACCTGCAGATTTGTGTTCATGTTAACATAATTAAAAAAAGTGTAAAACAAAAAACTAAAATTAGAAATCTAAGACAAAGGCAAGACCAAGAACAGCATCTCACTTTAGTATTATTTAACGTTGGCATGTACACCAAGGTAGGTGACAAGAAATGGAAAGTTTTTATTAAACCATACAGTACATAATGTACACAGATGGATAACTTGGTATGTATAGCTAATGTTGACTAAATCACTTTGAGGGGCAGGGAAAGAGACAGATTGCTAATGTTAGCTAGCTAGCTTTGCTAACATCACCTGCACATAGCTTACTTTTTTTGTGCTTCCTTTCTAAGAGACGATAAAGTTTTAGTCACCACAATCTCATGACTATTCTGGAGTACTACAACACTAGTATCTAAAGTGAATTTATTTAATTTTAAAGAGAAGTCGGCTGCAGGAAAGCTTCAGAAGCTGTGGAAATGGATGAAAAATCACCCAAAGCAAATGTAGCACTTCATTTCGTAAGTGTCCTTTTTAAAAACGTATTTTGTTAAATCCCGCAGTGGAAAATCATACTTCATTACACTCTGTTTTAACTGTTAGTAAAGGGGTTGATTATTCAAGCCTTGGAGTGTCAAAAGCTAGCAACATCAGCATAGTGCTTTCTTTTTCTTGTGATGTGACTTTTACCATTAAGTGCTTTCGTCACCTTAGTTGACTGTTGTTAACTATATTTGTATATATATAAAAAAATCAGTTGATAATTGATTCTGATCAGTTGTCTTTAATTGTTTGTAAATAAATTGCTTCACGTAATTCCTTATTATATGAAGGAATTCTGTTTGAAAGATTTATCAAAAATATTTTAGATCAACATATTTTTTCCAATCTCTTTTTGTGAATTCCATTATTTAGTCCACTACTCAATCAGAAAAGTTCACCCCTTATTTTGTAGTTTTAGCTTTTTGCGTGGGGGGGAAGCACAAACAGCTACAACATAAAATGATTTTTTTTATCCAACACATATAACTTGGATGTTCAAGATAATTTGAGGATGAGAGTGTGAAAATGTGGCAGCAATACGTTTTCAGTTTTTGTGAAACAAATTTTGATTATATTTCATTTCGTTAATTAAATGCGAATTGTTAGATTTGCGACACAAAATTTATTTTTTGCCTGCTGTGGAACACAGAAAAAGAAATTTCAACAGCAGAGAATAATGAAACACAACAGCCTGCTTTTGAAAAATACATTTTAAATTGGAGTTGGTAAGATAAAAATACAGAAAGTACACTGAGTAAATGCTCATGCCTTATAGCAAAACTAAACTTATAATTGACCCTTTGACAATTATTGCAAATTGTTTGCTATTTACATCAGCTTATCCAAGATAATGCAAAAATAAATTGGATAAAAACCTTTCAGAAAATGTCCATGGACTTCGCTTTCTACTGCCTGCTTCAACCCATGACCAAACCGGTGGCAAAGCCTTTAACTGTGCACTGTTTTAAAGTGAATAATGTTTGAGTTTTATCTGAATTAATGGACTGTTAAATTTGTAGCCTTTTTTTAAAATTCCATCTGAGTATTTTTTTTTATTCTTTAGCCATTTTGTGGCTCAAATAAGGAGAAAACATAAAGAACAGAAGAAGTGAGGAAGAATAAGTCTGCTAAGGCCACACAAATCTTGTCTCCTCTCGGTAATGGACTTATTAGATTTGTATTGTCAAAAAAGGATTGTCCCTATGAGGTGCAGGAATTTCTTTTCAGCTGCCATCAGACAAGGTAGTGGAGCGTGGCCGCCTTTCTTTGACAATAACTTCTGGATTTGTCTTTTTCTCTCCACCTCTGCCTTGTCCCATCACCGCCCTGTCTTCCCATTTCCTACCCCCACCGCTCCTTTCTTTCTCTCTGTCGGTCTTTTTTGTCTTCCTCTGTGTCTCTGTCTCCCACAGAGATTTGTGCAGCCGACTGTGGAGGCCATGGCGTTTGTGTTTCAGGCACCTGTCGCTGTGACGACGGCTGGATGGGCGCCGGGTGTGACCAAAGGGCGTGTCACCCGCGCTGCAACGAGCACGGCACATGCAAGGACGGCAAATGTGAATGCAGTCCTGGTTGGAACGGAGAACACTGCACCATTGGTAGGAAGAGAGGAGGCTGGGGTTTTGTCAAGGGGGGGGAACAGCTTCGATGTATATGTCTGTTTGGTCAGGATGCAGTGAAGGGGGAGGGATACCAACAAAGGCGTGCAGACTACCTCTTTGCCTGTGTGTGTAAGCGTCGGGTCTGAGAGGAAGTATCCAGTCAGAGAAAGAATGGGAAAGCATGCTTAATTGAATTTGTGCAACTCAGTAAAGCATGAACAGGTTTACTCAAGGATCTGAGGCTTGCCTTCATGCATTTTAATGTGGGAATGTGCTAAGGTGTCTTTTCATTTTACTCATCCTTATCCTCATCTTTTCTTTGCTCCCTTTCCATTTACTATTATTTTCAAATGCTGACGTGTGAGTCATTGTGAGCCGGTCATCCACCGCTTTCAGCTCTCTGTTTATACTAATGCTGTTGCTCTCTTGCACTAAAAACTGGTAGAAGCTAAATTTTTTAAGACCTTGACTGAATGTCAAAAGCTCTTTTGAAAACCAGAATGTAACCTTAAAAAGAAATTTCATTATCTAGAAACTATCAATGGCTCCTTCTTTTTTTTTTTTATATATATCAAGTTCATATGTTCAAAGATGCTGGACATCAACAAGCTTGATGTGGCACTTTGAAATAACTTTGCAAAAATGTTTTTATACTTCCTTGAGGTGTTTTTTGTTTTTTTCTGAAAAACAGTTTAAGTTAAAATGGAAACACTTTTGCCAACTAAGTTCTGACAGCAAACAATTACCTCACATTACTCATCAGCTGTTTCCGCTGCCTTAGAATTGCATTTCTCTCTCTGCATCTCAGGACAGCATGCAACATTATCAATGCTGACATGACTGAACAATTACAACTTGGCCGATAACACATTCCTGAAAAATTCTATCAATTTTTCTGAGATGAGTGCTAGTTCATGCTAGCTTGCAACCTCTACTTCCTGTTTATTACAGGCATGTGTACCATCAACATCTGGCAAAATCATGCTTTCCGTAGCCTGGTTGATTCAGTCCAAACCATTCGAGGGAAACACAGTTGATATGCATTTCCTTTTTTAATTTTTTTTTTTTTTTTTTTTTTTTTGCAACATTCCAAAAGTTTGCTCGCAAATTCACATATACAAACTGAAAAGTGTTTTTCTTGTGATACTGTAGCATGTAGGCATGTTGCATTAACTAATTAAAAAAGGATAAAATTTTCCTTGTAGCCCACACAAGCTAAAAAATTGTGAGATTTTGTAGCACACATTATATTTGTAGGTAGTTATGAGTTTTGATTTAGGGTACCATCTTCATGAACTCTTAATGAAAAACGTGAAATGACCAAAAGAATGTGTTGCTTGGAGCCTGCTGGTGTTCTGTGTTTTCATGTGCAAATTCACTCATTTCTTCTTACTCCTCTTTCTTTGTTTTAGTATATCTCAGACAAACCACTTAATACCTTTTGGAATCAAAGAAATATAAGCTTTACTCATACCTACTAGTATAAAAACCAGCAAGTTAAAACACGCCAGTAATGATATGTCAGTAAAATCGGTTCATTAGCTACATTGGTAATGTTATGTTTTAAAAGCAAAAGTAAAAGACAAGGGCTTTTTTTGGTGGTTGTTTCGACACATCAAGGTTTCTTTTTTTTTTTTTTACAGCTGATACAAAAAACCGAAAGCACAATGGCGATCCTTTTTCTCAGCCGCCTCAGTGATTCCCTACATGTTTGAGTCAAAGGGAAACCAGAAATAAAAGCTCATAAAAGAAAAAGCTGATTTTTCTCTCAGTATTCTCATTGGTCTCGAGGCAGCGCTGCCTGAGAACAGAGCTTCGGCTCAGTTTGTGAATGTTTTATATGCTGGCCTGTACATTATTGATGGCTCTTTTATAAAGGCCATATTGAGATCCAGATTCAACAAGAAGATTTCTCTGTGTCGTAGATTAAGATCTCAATTTAAATCAATTTCCATCACAGAGGGCCCCGTGTGTTGGCCCCAGGCCCCCTACAGGTCTGATCAGGTCTGATCTGGTCTCATTCCTGACGAGGCCACTTGCATCGTCCGCAGACGATGATTAAAAGAGCTTTTTGTGACCTCTGTCCTGCATGACGCTGCAGAAGCCTGCAATATTCACATCAGTGCCAGTGTTTTCGAAATACTCCCCTGGGCTATTTAGTTGTTTCCATCATTTAATAAAAAGAAACAGACTTTTTTTTTTTCCTGAAGATTTCATTTTGGTGACTGCAATCTTCCTCTGCGTCCCACAATTCCCCCCTGTCTTCCTTCTGTCTCCATCCCTCTCCTGTGTGGGATTGTGCTCAATGTCTTGCTTGTAATGCATGCTGTTAATGCTTTGTGGCTGTGTTTTTTTTTAACCGCGTTTTGTAACGTATACTAACACATTGCCCTGCTGTCTTGTCATGGAAGTGCCACTGTTCAAACCTCCCTTATATGTCCTGTCTTTTATCTCTCAAGCTCACTATCTGGATAAGGTAGTGAAAGGTATGGCATTCCTCCTTCAATCTTTTCTGCGCTCGACTCATTGTAACGCCGGTCAGCATTAACAAGCCGTGAAACACACACCCAAACACACGCAGACACACACCTTGGTCCATTTCCATCCAAAACACTGTTCTTCTCATTCTACAGATGCATTTCAATAAATTAGAATTTATTAGTTTGGTCAATAATTTGAAACTTGAATAGATTCATTACACAACATTGTTTTCCAAAAGTTTCTGTGTTCATTTTGATGATTATGGCTTGCAAATATTATGTTTTTTTTAATTAAGTTTTTAAAAAAAATTTCAATATTAAATTAGATGAATAAGAAATCTATAATACAAGATTTTAATGTTATGGCCATAGTTTAGCCTTCACAATTATGCAAAAGACAGCTATCTTGATATTCGGTTCAGCCCTCCAGAAGGAGTGTAATTGCTCTTTCAAGTTTCAAGAAAACAGAGCATTGTATGGTGTCAAAGCATTTTAATGTAAAGTTCATTGGAAGGAAAATGTCAATCCATGCTTGCATCCATTGTCTTCCCCTTATCTGAGATTGGGTCGCGAGGATAACAGGTCCAGGAAGAAAAAACAAACCTCTCGCTCTCTGCCACTATTCAGGTCTTTCTAGGGAAGGTGTGAATAAGCAGCAGTTCTACTTGGAGTTCCCCCCCACCCCCCGGATGAGGAAGCTCCTCCTCTGTCTTAAAGGCTAACCCCAGCCACACCAAAGAGGAAGCTCATCTGAGCTCCTTGTATCCGGGATCTCGTTCTAAAAGTGGGGCTGTAGTTAGAGTGCAGGTGGGCCAATAAATCCAGGGCATTGCTTATACTTGGCATTAACAAAACAAAACAAAAAAACACCCCCATCTGTCTATCCACCTTCCTGTGATTACTTGTGAAGAAACGGCAAGATGCAAGAACACCTGCACTTTCACCAGAGGCTGAACTCGGATCTGAATGGGAGCAGGAAAGGTTTTGGTTGAAAAATTGGAATAAGCAACTTAAGAGTTTGAGGAAGATTCAAAAAAGGTCAAAAACTACAGGCAGATCCAGGACATGAACTACATCTGCATTATTCCTTTTGTCAAGCCACTTTTTAACTAGAGACTGCAGGACCAGACTGGTGCTCAGTGGTCCAGTGTCCTCTTCAGATAATAGTAAATGTTTGGAAGTCAAGGTCCCACAGTCTAGAGGAAGATTTGGAGACAGAATCCTAGCTGTTGGAGGTTCAGGTGCAAATTTCCATAATTGTTAAGGAATTCCTCCAGGAAGTTCCGATGCTGCAACCATAACTATTCGCTCATCATTCACAAATTTTGCAGACTTGCAATTTTCACTAATCACTGCACCTTCTGACCTTAAATTTTTTTGCATTTCCTTCATTTCTGACCAATCACACCGAGTTGAATTTTGATAAATTCCCTTTGCCCCCTTCTAATTTAACTTTGTTCCACAAAGTTGTTTTTTTTTTACTGCATTTTCAAAAACCATTCTGAGATGTTTTGTAGGATTTTCTCAGATAGTGTATACAGTTCAAGTTAAAATCCTGTTTTTGCTTTTTTGAGAGGATTATTTAAACTTTTTTATAAGTTGATGTTATAGCAAAAATAAAACTTAAAAATATTAGGGACTTTGACCACAACCTTTAGAACAAGGGTGTGAAAAATCTGTCAATTAGGCCACAACAATCACAAAAAAATATTCGTTTTATTGCATCGTGGAGGGACTGATTTAGAGAGTTATGTTATCCGTTAGTGTTTTCTCAGTGCGGCTCCCTAACAGGAAACATATCACCAGAGCCACACGCTGATCGATGTAAGCCAAAATCATCAACACCAACAGAAATACATGCTTAAAAATGTATTGTATTGTGTAATGAATCTTACACATTTTACACTTTTTGAACTGAATATCCCAAATCAATTAACTTTCCTGATGAGATTCTAACTTATTGAGATGCACCAGTAAAAATCTTCTCTCATCGTATTTTCAACATAATGTTCCATGGTAATCTCCACTTAGCACCTTCACGCCCAATTCAAACTGAGCTGCTTTCTATACATCAAATGTTTGGTTTGTGCATTTTAGCCTTCTCAGTAGGGGGATGTTGGGAGAGGGGATTCATAACCTGCACCTTGCATTATAGATGAGCTTACAGTGCTGTGCAAAGCCTGATAGGTTCCGAGGCTGCAGCCTCTTTAATTAAAAGACTTTATGGTTGTAGGCAGAACGAGAATGGAGGCTTTGCTTCACCCCTTGCTGTCTGCCACCGGCACCCCTCTCTCAGCCTCCCTGCGTACTTGGTTATAGACCACCTGGCATCAGAGCGGCTGCCAGAGGGGCTCTTCGAACGTTTGCATCCTCATGTCTGGAGCTGTTTCAGACGGGCTCGGGCAGGGCTCTACAGGGGCTTCTCTCTGAAATATTCTGCCAGTTAAGTTGAAACCAAGCCAAAAGAGAGTGAAGCTTTATTTATCCGTATAACAAACATTCTGAGCTCCTTAATCGTCCAGCTCCACTGGCTTAACCAGAGTTGTTTTTGTCCATTTGCTCAATAAATGGACAGCCAATGCCAAAAGTGTCCAAGAGGCAAGTCATTTCGAACAGTTCATTAAATTTGGTTGCAGTTTTGTAGAATATCATTTGAGTTTTCACTTTATTATTGATGATAAATTCTCTAAATCATCTGTAGAAATTGAAGTTACAGCAGTAATAAACAATTTTAGCTTGTAATCTCTTTAAGGGATGAGCAGAAGAGCCATATATGGTGAAGACATGTAAAAGCTATTCAATTATTCTTTAATTACAAGAGCAAAATCTCACTACACATATTGTCACATTTCTAGCAGTTTTAAACATTTTGAACGTTGCTTTTAGTGAAGATATGGGAAAACCTCGTAGTAACTAATAGAAATGTGTTAGCTGATGTTTATACTGCAAATAAGCAGGAAATCTTAGACTAGTGATCGATTAGTGTTTCTGTAACGTTTGACATGCCAGTACCAATTCTGACTAAAATAAATAATTTAATATATTTTTGCAACATTCATGCTGTAAGTGATAATAATTTTTTTTTACTTTAGTGTCAGAGCTGATGTTACACTGTGTGTGCAACAGAGCCCGTGCAGTAAAACACGATTTTATTACTATTTTAAGACAAAATGATTAGAATATTGATATTCTAAAATGTTTTCCGACAGCCTGCATGAACAGGTGGAAAAAAACAATGTTTGCTTTTACAACTCTGATTCATATTACTTAATTGAAAACACTTAATTGAATTTGAAAATTGCTAATTAGTAGGCATCTTTACCCAGAAATTGCATCCATACCAAATGATGCTGTTGTCAAAACAACCTAACAGGAAAAGATCAAGCTGAAAATTGCTAGGTTCTCTGAAATGCAAAGTTCATATTGAATAAATGCTTCATCTAGAATTATTTTAGAGAAATTGCTAGAGGTCTCTTTAGTTGTAGCACGGGAGATTTCATTGAAAACTGTTATTTTCACAGAGTAGGAGTGTCCTGAGTATATCCACTTAAATTACAGGATGGCTTTTTCTACATATTTCAGTATGAGATTATGCTGCAGCTGTAAAGCGCAGATATATTATAAGACTTCTTTATCTTGGGTTGCAAGTCACTACAAAGGATACTAAGCAACTTTTAACTTCGAAAATTTAATTGTGTGAAAAATTTTAATAAATGGAGGCAGACAGTTGTGCTCCAGAAATTTGGGATTAATTACCTTTTGTGGCTCTTTATTCTATTCTAACTAACAGCATATATTATGCAGACTGTGGCTGCATTGTGAATTATGTCACAATATAATTGCAGCCCTGATTCATCCATCAATCAGCCTTTCCTCCCTTACAGTTACTACCTTATAAGTACACCTGTCTTACCTGTTTTCTCCCTTTTCTGTTCTCCGGTCCAGTTCTGTCTCTGTCTGATGTAAAAGCAAGCTGCACAAGAGAGATAGTTGATAAAATGGGTCAGCTTAGCATTCTCTCTATTAAGGCATCCTTCTAACACCACAATCTATGACAGAGCTGAGCGTTTGATATCTTTAGATTTTCCCCTCTGCCTCAGCGAGGGGATAAATATCATAATGTATCAGATAAATGTCAAACAGGGTAGAACAATTGGCATCATAATCGTCTGATCTGTGCCCTTGTGAAGACCTATCCGGGAGGAAACAATGAAATCTTTCACCTGTCTCTCTACTCCAGCCTGCCTCAGATCCCCTGGGGCTCAGCTCCCAGAAATACAGCTAGGCGACCTCTGCTCAAAGCAACCAAGCACAACCTTTTCCAATTTATATAAAACCCATTTTGTTTAGCTTGGAACTTCTCCTAAAGGGATATCATGGTCTCTCTATTTGAGGGGATTTTACTGATAGTTAAAAACCCATTTCTCTGACAATAATTTAGACCACTTTTTAAACTACTACTACTACTTTCCAATTTTATTTTATTCCTGGAAATCTTCAGATTTTGTCACATTACAAACAGACCTTGTTTTTTTTTTTTTTTTTTTTTTTGTTTTTTTTTTTTTTTTTTTTTTTTTTAGGAATTTCATGTTTTAGACCAATACAACAAAGAAAGATAACAAAGCAGGCGGAAAATGATAGAACAGAAGTGGACATCACTAACTAAAAGTTAGTTGTGCTGAGCAAGGCTCCAACATGGTACTTATCAAAGGCTAACGCAACAAATTCAATCATGTTGATGCTACCCATGTGTCTATTGTATGTTACGTGTTACGTGGTTGCGTGCAAAGTTGCGCTTCAGCAAGTGATTCTTTGGAACAGAATCACTTCCTGTCATGGTTTCAGTTTTACATTTGTTGAGAAACGATATTGCTAACTGTTTCTGAGTTTGCCCTAATTGTAGGGCTCCAGTCAGAAAGCATGCAGGACATCAGTAAATTTTAAACTGCAGTGCATTCTGGGTACAGAATAAACATCATTTGCTGCACTGCATCATGGCAAAGATTGTGACAACAGGAAACAGAATTACTGCCTAAATAATTATCAAATAAGAGCATGAACATAACCGTCTTAACTACTTGAAGGATAATTTAGAAGATGCTAAATGTGCTAAGCGTTTTAAAAGTTAGCAGAAACGCTAAATGATAAATTTGCTTCACCATAAGTGCATGTGCTCACTACTGGGATAGAGTTACTGACGGAGCTAAATACAGGCAATTCTGGAAGAAAATATTTTAGAAGTAGCAAAATACATAATAGTGGAGATTTACCTTCCTGCCAGAGCTACAATAAAAAAGCTTAGATCAAAACAAATGTGTGTGTTAGAATGACCCAGTCAAACCAAGATTCAACTCCAATTTAAAATCTGTTGCAAGACTTGAAAAGTGATATTTACAGACGCTGGTCATCCAGTCTGATTTAGCTTGGTGTTTTTAACAAAGAAGAGTAGGTACCGGTTTCAGCCTCTGGATGTGGAAAGCTGGCAGAGGTATATTCTAAAAGACATGCGGCTTTAAGTGTAGCATAACGTAGTTCTACAAAGTATTAACTGAAGGGAGCCCACAAATTCATGTGAAAAACCTCAAGAAGTACTATATAATTTTCCTTGCATTTCACAATCATTCACTAAGTTGTGTGGGTCTGTCACATGAAAGTCCTAAAGAAACACATTGAAGTTTGTGGCTGTAATGTGAAAAAGTCGAAGGGATGTGGGTATTTTTGCAAAGCTTAATAGGAAAACAACCTTGAAATCCAAAATTACCTATTAAATTATTTCAAATTGGGCAGTATAAACTCCACTGCTTTCATTGCACAGCTAAAGTACCTGGCTAATATGCTGTAGTAATAAGTGAATATTGATTAATAAAATCCCTCTTATCTGATTCTGCTGCAAAGGGATATTGGAAAGCTTTACAAAAGGTGTATCGAATTAATCAAGTTTAGCTGAGGGTCATTAGAGCTGCTCTCATCCATTTAAAATTTCACATAGCATTAGGTTATAACATTAGGTTATTGCTGCTTAAAGTACGAACAGCAAAGCAGTTTTTTTCCAAAGCAATTTTGGTGCACAAATGATGTTCTGTATTTTTTGTTGTTCATTAATTTCTCTTTGTTTGAGACTCAGTTGTGACCGTTGGTCTTTGTCTTCATCTATTTTTCATAGAGGGTTGTCCTGGTTTGTGCAATGGAAATGGCAGGTGCACTCTGGGTAACAACGGCTGGTACTGTGTGTGTCAGCTGGGCTGGAGGGGCACCGGCTGTGACACCTCCATGGAAACCGCCTGCAGTGATGTCAAGGACAACGATGGAGGTAAAATCACAAATGCCTTTTGACACTGACCAGACACCAACACGGACTCTGAACCAGACATGATTTGACAATAAAATTCACCCCCTGTGGGCTTGAGAAATATTCTGTACTTGCTTTAAGCTTTCCATGCTCTGTTATACCTTTTATGTAGGCCATTCCAATTGTATTCATATAGAGCCAGTAGCAGTAGAAATTGTCTTGAAATTATCTTGAGATTTCACTGCCTCGAATCCCAGGAGCCAGCTTGCTTTTAACTGGAAGAAAGGAAAGAAAAAAAGTGAAAATCTAAAGAAAATGTAAATATTACACACAGATCAGGAAAAACAAAATAGCTTAGATGTAACAAATACATAGTGAAGAAGAAAAACTGCGGAGCTGACTTACAATTAGCAGTAAGTGCTGAATTCAAGCTGAATCAATGCTTAGAAAAGGTACAAAACTGCTTCTCTTCTGAAGCTAACTAGACATGTAGAACCATAACAGGTGGATATAATGCAGGGATTTTATTGTGTACAGTCTTGGCTCTAAGTAAAATCCTATGGATGTCCTTTCCTCTAAACGAAATACTTTTGTATAGATCATGTGAAAGCTACATGCACACATCCAGTGCAATCTTTACATGCAAATAAAATAGAGTTGTCCTGATTGGAAGTATTAATAAATTCACCTTGATATTTTATTAACCTCTAAGATTTTGAACATTTTCTATCTCCACAGGGAAGTCCTTTTCCCTCTAAATAACCCTGAGCAGAGGCAGAAACACACTCCCACACACACACACACCCAACCAGCCAGGGATGTTGCACCAATCTCTACTCCAAGTGGGAGATGTGACTTTCTTTATTCCAGACCCGATTCTTCAGCCTGAGCTGTGCACTGGCCTCCCTTATTTATACAAGGGGTTGTTTGTCTTCCCATCACTTAACAGGGACCACACGGCTCTCAACAGCAAAAGCAGGGTACTGCCTGGGATTTGACTGACTCCTGACAGCACAGTTTATTTTTATCACCCCATCTGGCCAGATATGCCCCTGAAAGCAATGGTTAGGAGACACTAATGACCCACTTTAGCAAAGTAAAGTGCAAAGACTCATTTTTAGTAATGTTATCTAATGTACTGAGAGGGAACTGCATCTTCTGCATATTATGATCTTTTGCAAAAGTTTATAACATTGCTTCCACTTCTGCTAATGTGGTCCTTTAGCATGTATTGTAACTTTGAAAACATTTAACATTTACTGTCTCACTTTTGCCGCTTCTAAAAGGAACGCACTGTTTTTAACTCCACCCATAACTCTGGCTGTGTGCTGGGCAAACTTCTGCTAGGTTAACAGAGGAGCCAATTTTTGACTTTGAATTGCTGAAACTGAAATTGGTCCACAATTTTGGTCAGGAGCTGACTTATCAATACGTCTCTACTCCTAAACTCCAGCATAAGTATAGTATTTAGCTTTATATTATTACTCAGTGTTACCCAATAGCATATTTTATTCAGTGTGTGTACGCTTTTCTGCATTTGCCAGGTGTTAACCACACTTCTTTTTTTTGTGAATCTGTTTGCTTGTGACTTGTTTAACCTTCTCAGATGGCCTGGTGGACTGCATGGATCCAGACTGCTGTCTTCAGGCAACCTGTCACACCACCTCTTTATGCGTGGGCTCGCCCGACCCCCTGGATATCATCCAGGAGACGCAGATGTCCTCGGCACAGAGCAACCTGCAGACGTTCTACGACCGAGTGCGCTTCCTGGTGGGCAGGGACAGTACACACACCATCCCTGGAGCTAATCCCTTCGACGGAAAGTGAGTGACAATGTACTCTCATCGGATAACACCCAAGCTTAAAAGGCTTTTTTTTTTCTAGATTCACAGAGCTATTTGTCTTATACATCATATACATTTTTGTTGCATTAGTAGAGTTCTGCGAATTCCAGCTACTACAGCAGCTCTTGTTTATTTAGTGCCTCGCTAAGTATAACGCATTAAGATTTAAGCCTATTTGCATTAAATTTAAAATTGACTAAAAAATGTGTGATACCATAGCTTCTCTTCCGTTCTTAGCTGGATTGCTTTTCAAATCAGTAAAGCAGCAACAAACAGGAACACATTTGCACATTTGCGATGTTATGACCTGGATAAACTGTTATCTAGCTCCACATTTTGCTGCAGTGACACGCTCTTGAACAGATTCATAAGTCCTAAAACAATAATCGCATTTTTTAAAACAGCTATTGCAGCACTTTTATTTTTGTTTATAAAAAAAAAAGGAAAACGGAAAATTCATTCACATTTAAAGTTATAGGGTAGCAGCTGCATTCAGTGCGGGCTCGAATTGGCAAAGAGTGTTGGCATCGCTGCAAGGAGGATGGACAAATGATGATGGACAAACATGGAATGTGGCAGAAAAAAAAGAAAAGGAGGCAGCATTCCCTCAGCAAGAAAGGCATCTCATATTCATGTATTGTGATTACTTCTACTGTAATCCATCTGTGGCTCACTCCCACAGGCAGAGCTCATGACACCCCAGTCGTGGAATTTGAGAACCTTTTAAATCAGGCAGGATGGCAGTCAGAATCCCATAAGATTGCTCCGATGTTTTCTATTGTCTCTTTTTCTTTTCATCTTTTATCACATGCGTGACAGGGTTGCTCATTTCCATACTACTTTAGTATGTATCACTCTCGTCTTTGTATATTATACTAATGTAGAAGACAAAGATGAGACTTAATATACACTCAGAGAAGAATAAGATAAGAGTGTAAACACTTAAATGTTTCATGTGAAGAAAAGCTATTTTATTCTTGGTTGTTTTCTTGCTGGTAATAGTCTTACATCTTCTTTGTGGTAGGCAACACCATGAGCTTAAACAACAATCAGGAGTATTCACTTAGAGAGAAATGCTTGAAATGTAAAAGTTTTGGCTCATCATACTGCAGCCACTGCCGTGCTTCACAGTATGGTCCTCCTGATGGTTGAACCTCTGCCTCTTTTTTAAGCCTTTGGCAGCCTCTAACCTCTAATCCTCCTGGATTGTGTTTTACCTCAATCCATCTTCCTATCAACTTCAACCAGCTTTTCTTTCCCCTCTGAAGAAAAGCATGATACTGTGACCACAAGGTTCATGGTGGGCAAGTTTAAGTAACTTTTCTGCCACAAATAGCTTTTGCCTGTTGGCCAAAAAGTTGAACTTTGGTCTCAGCTGACAAGAGGACCTTCTTACACAGGTGTGTTGTTTGCCAAACCGCAAACAGAGCTTCTCCATGCTTTTTTTTTTCCAACAGTGGGTTTCTTCTGGTCACTCTTCCATGAAGTTCAGTCATGTGAAATGAGCTATGGATCTCTGTTTATCTCAAAGAGTTTAGGTGGATAGCCAGGTTGAGGTAGATTTTTTTTAGTTTAATGTTTCTTTTCAGATGAGCTCCATGAGAAATTCAAAGATTGAGATATATTTTTTGCAACCTAAAATACAGGTAGGTTGACTCTTTAAGGGTGTTAGGGTAGAAAGGGCTAAAGAAATATGACACCCACCTATTTGAGGTTCAGTATTCGTGGAAAATCCACCCATAACCTGATTTTATTTTTGTAGTGCATTGCAAAATATTCAGAAGAAAATGAGAAGCTAAAATATCTAGCGTAATGTTACTTGGCATGCTATTGGCTGGCATTTGTAAAGCAGCCAATTGGCTGTTCCCCTAAGCTTATAGATGTTAGCCTTTGCGTTAGTGATATGATTGTTTCCACTCTGAATTCATGCCTGTTAAAATTTATCTGATGTTTGAACTATTAAAATAGGCAGTTAAAAGCATCTTTAGAAGGGCTCTCAAGTATTTTATATTTCTCCTATTTGCTATTCCTTTATGGTCCCTAACCTCCACAAACTGTACGGAAAAGTTAAAATTGTGAAATTTTCTTTTCAGTGGACAGGTATGTGGTCATTGTGGTTAAAATATAACAAAATGTGAAGAAGTTCTTCAACCCAATGCTTCAAAACATAAAATGCATCTTTTTTTGGTCTTATTTTTAATGCGTTGCGACAACATCAGCTGTTACTTCAGCGGAAGCTCCCTGACATTTTCTCTCATTGACATTTTTATGGCTCTCAAGAAGCACTCAGCATTTTGCAGTACGTCCCCGGACAGAGTTAGAGGCATGGAAGGTTGAGTAATACTCTTGTCTCTTACTCAAGATGTGGCCATAAATAAGTAAAATGAAGAATCCAGAGATGAGCTGCAAGATCGCGGGAGCCTCGGCACACCTAAAAATATCGGTGATAATCTATTATTCATGCTTGGTATTCATTCCCCCACCGACTGACAGATCTGAACAGTTATGACGAGGTGGCGGAGGGGGCTTCAGACAGGCCTAGCCTCAGCATCTTTCGTTTGTGATATGCTTGCCTTGCTCACGTGATCATCTTTCTATTGATCCGCCGGCCACTTCCTCATGCTCGCAGACGTGTTGAACTGCTATTTCTAATGTTTCCGTCCGCAAAAAGCTGCAGAGGTGCCACTGAATAAAGCATCTGCCACTGCATGAAATGTCTTGATTCCCCACCATGACACATAATACAACGGGCTGCTGAGGCCCAGCAGTGGATGCTGACTAGAATAGTAAACAGGGACTTTGTCTATGGAACAGTTTGGACAGAGATTGATGGTTGGTTTCTAATAGCAGGGTTGAAGTCATCCGCTCCATTTGCTAGCTGGCACTTTTCAAATTTTATTTAGGGCTATTCTTTTTAGCATTAAGCTATTAATGTCAGAAATAAAACCGTTGTAGTCTGTTTGAACGCCTTTTAGCAGCATTGTTTGCAGAAAAGAAATTAGTCCAAAGTGTTTTCCATTTGCACTCTGAGCGAGTAACATACAGCGAGGGAGAGGAAGGGATCCACGGTGACATGCTAACATTTGCATCAGGATTCACCCTGTAATCAAGTCATTTGTGTGGATAATGATATTTTCGTTGCGTGCATGGTAATGGTGGTATTTATTAGGCTTCGTCTAAAGTTCTATATTTACCTCTGGCAAGCTGTTTTTATTGTCTGCACTACAATTAGAAAGAAATGTATTCTTCCTCCGTTATTGTATTCCTATGAAAGGGATTAAACTCCAAATTTCTTGACAATATGTTATTTCTGTGACTTTTACTACTGTTCATGCTGACAAAACCGCCATAAATAAAAAAAAAAATATTTCGCTAAATTTATTACAGTTCTCTAAGTGAGACTCAGGATTTCTGCACAGGTTTGGAAAGTATTGTCCCTTTCTGAGCAAAAATAGGAAGAAAAGTAGAGAAAATATTTTCAAATTATGTCCTTTCCCACTGTCTGAATATGGCATCCATCCTTTTTTGCCCATAAAAATCTACAGAAAATGGCCACATTAAAATTGCATATTGGAACTCTGTTTTATGACATCAGACAAATACTGATTTTTTTCACTCAGTTTGAGTATCATCATAGGCATTTTGTTGAAAAATTATCATAGGGTGGATTTTTTTAAGTTTCACCCGGAACGTTAGCTGGAGATGGGCACCAGCAACCCTCCTGACCCAACTAAGGGACAAGGGTGTAAAGAAGATGGATGGATGCATGGATGGATGGATGGATGCATGGATTGATGGATTTTATAAGATCTGGCCACATTCCTGTGCATCTCTTTTAAAAATGTTTGAAAAGTCTGAAATCAAACAAACTTTTTGGAAGTAATGTATAGTGTAATGTCACAGGAAATTAATATATTAATTGAGGAAGGGAAAAATGTTTTTGTGCGGTAAAATAAATCCCATATTTAAACCCACTCATGCCTATCTGCAAAGTTGAAAACATCAAGACGCTGCTCTTAATTTTATAAGGATCATAAAAGATGTAACTTTTCTCAAAAAAAAAAAATCTTTACATATTTGTTAAAACTTTCACTACATCCTGGCAATCTAACATGAAACAGAAAAAAAATAATTAACTCCTCTGCTTCCCCCTGTGGTTCTGCAGAAATACATCTCAGTCAGAGGAAGTTCTTTACACTGTCAATCATTGTCGTGTATGCGCTGCTCATGCCTTCCCCTTCAGTACAGCTTGTTCACTACACCAAACTTACTGTGAACATGCAGGATAATAAGCAAGGTAGATAAGCAGTTCTTCTGTAATGGTACATTGTTTCTCTCCTATTAGTACAGCTGTAGGGTGTAGAAGAGCATGATTGACAGCGCTAAGACCCTCCTCATGGCTCTGATTGATGGTTTCTGACTATTTATTTCTGCAAAAGACAATAGGACCGCACGGAGGAGGCAAAAGGACCTTGATTTTTTTCTCACAGATTTGTCTCATGTTATACTGTCACAACATACTAGTGATAACAAATATGTAACACATATTTTTTTATATCGTGCCAGCTGGAAATTTCTCCAGTAAAGTCCCAATGTTCACTTTCTTCCTTCTTCATTTTGATGTGAATATTTAAATCATTTCTCTCGACAGCGAGGAATCGTTTTCCCATGGGCTTCACACAGCCTGGGACGAGATAGTTCCACTTTTACAGCTTCATCTCGAGAAAACATGGATGGCTGGCTTTTCAAACAAATCCCTTCAATAAACTCGCACCTTGAATGACTAATCAGGCACCCAGGATTTGACTGGGTTTTCTTTATTGCTTATTATATGTAAATGAGTTCAGAAAGTTCTTTAGGTGTGAGCCTAATCATTTATAGCAGTGTCCTCCTCCTTGTTTACGCTGCACTAGTGGACATCCAAGGTCCTCTCAAGGGCACTTGGCCTAATTAACATAAAACTGGGTTCCTAGGGACCA